ACGAGTCTTTGAGTTTCCTTCATTTTCTGACAAAAACTTCCAGTTTTCCAACGAGGTAAGTGACCAGAACCTTGATTTGATCAAGTAGGCTTTAGAATGTTGGTTTTCCATTGTATTTTCTACTTTTCCAAGGCTTCTTTAATCGGAGAAAGACTGTTCTGAGTGCGGGGCTTTAAATTTGCTTCAATTTTTCAGGAAAAAAATTCCATTTTTAGACTAAAATAGTATCCTACTTTATCTCTCTCTTTGTCTTACTCACTATCAAATTATTAGTCGGCCATTTTGAAGTGTCGTGTTTACATTTTTATCCAGGTTTTCCTCGAATTTTCCACTTTTCCAGGGTTTTTTTAGTCGAATAAACTGGTTTAAAGTACGAGGCTTCGAGTTTTCTCCATTTTCTGCTAGAAATTTCCAGTTTTAGATCCATTAATTTACGGTCAAAAGGTAAGTGAGAAAAAATTCAAGGAATTTCTAATTTTAAAATCGTTATTAATTAATTATTTAACGGGTTTTTAATTATTAAATCACAAGTGGAATCCCATTTTGAAAGATTTTTTTTGGAAGCACCGCTTGTAGCCAACTTCAAGTAGACCTTGTAATAAATGTCATTTGCCATTTTTGACAGTCGGCCATTTTCAATTGACGAGTTTACATTTTTATCCAGTTTTTCATCGAATCTTCCGCCTCTCCAGGCCGTTTTCAATCGGGAAAACTGTTTTAAAGTTTGAGGCTTTGAGTTTTCTCCATTTTCCACCAAAAATTTCTAGTTTTCCAATGGAGTAAGTGACCAAAACTTTGATTTTTCAAGTAGGCTTTGGAATGTTGGTTTTCCATTGAATTTTCTACTTTTGCAGGGATTTTTCAATAAGAAAAAGATAGTTCGAATTTGCTTCATTTTTCCACCAAAAACTTCCATTTTTAGACTTAAATTGTTTCCTACTTTATCTCCCTCTTTGTCTTATTTACTATTAAGCAGGCCTTGGAATGTCATTTTTAATGAAATTTATTAAAGATAAGATTCCAATGCATTATTTTCGGAATTTATCATTTCATAAACATTCATAATTAATTATTTAAACAAAAAACTATTTAAAATGTAATTTTTTCCTATTTGAGATGTGGCAACGTCGTACAATGTTATATTTCCCAGTTTTGACAGTCGGTCATTTTTGAATGTTTTTATATCGAATTTTCCGCTTTTCCATGCCGTTTTCAATTGGGAAAACCGATTGATAAGACGATACTTTGAATTTTCTTAATTTTTTGCCAAAAATTTCCATTTTTCAATGGGGTAAGTGACAAAAACTCAAGTTTTATTAAGTAGACTCTGGATTATCTTACGGGATTTTCTTTGGATTTTCCGCTTTTCCGGTGCCTTTTTGATCGGGAAAACCGATTTTAAGTACGAGGCTTTGAGTTTTCTTCATTTTCATCCCAAAAATTTCTAGTTTTAAATACTAAAATTAGGGGTAGATAAGGTTTTTCTGCCTCTTTTAAAAAAAGTGAGCACTTGAATTACATCATTCTTTATCTCTTTCCTTGTCCTACTCAGAGGGTGTTAGAGCTACTTTGCACTTGAAAAACACTAAATTTAGCAGAAAAAACGGTGTTCCGAATCAAAGAAAAAGGGGCTTTCAAAACGAAAAACAAACAAATGCCATTTTGAATTAATTGTCAAAAATTACAAGGCCTACTTTGACTTTGACATATCAAATTTTTTGACGTTTGCGTCAAGGTTGCTGCAATTTTTGTGCCAGGGTTGCTACATTTTTTCGTCCCTGTGGGCCGATTTTTCAATATCGAGTCACCTCCGGGTTGGTTTTAAATAGAGGTGGGCCAACCTGCAATTTTACTAGAACTGTGACAAGACGTGATTGCTCCAGTTGTGTCACGGTAACAAAATAGCAGTGACTTGACTGGCCGTGCTGGTAATACATATAAATGGTACATTTCATAATCGCAGTTCGCCCAGTTCACAGTCACGGCCGAGCGAAATGTTCCAGTCTGCCCTCTGCAGTTTCTGTTTTGCGTCACCGCAATGTGATTTATAATAATATTTCATTATTTGCATCACTTTAAGTTGAGTTTAGTCCGTGCTGTATCGGTTAGAGATCGAAGTGGCCGTGACAAAATGTCACTGCTACTTGAGTGGGACTGGAGCAGGCCGTGACTGTGACAGACGAGTAGCAGTGACAAAGTCACAGTTCGTGAAATCGCAACTCACCTCTAGTATATAGTGATATCTGCGGACCAATCAATCCAGAAACTATCGTTGGTGGTATAAGTAGGTACTTCCATACTATATGAGATGATTTTTAGTGATAAAAATATTAAAAACTAAAGATGAGGCTAGCATGGATCTTATTCAATATATGAAAGACCTTGAAACACAGCACCAAGTTAAGGTTAGAGCATTTAGACTAGATAATGGAGGAGAATTTGTATCGAGTAGCTTCAGGAATTTTTTTATAAGAAGAATGATATGACTTTGGAGTGTACCATGACATATACCCCCCAAGAGAATGAAAAAGCTCAACGAATGAATAGAACTCTATTGGATAAAATAAGAATCAAGATTATAGATTCAGGCATTCCAAAAACACTATGGGATGAGGCGCTAAAATGTTCTGTGTATGAACTAAATAGAAGTCCAACTAGAGCTTTACCTAGGGGAGTAACACCCTCGACAATTTGATTAGGATGAAATAATCTGAGTAAGCTCAAGATTTTAGGGTGTCGAGCCTGGTTCAAAATTTTACCCAAAGGTAATAAGTTAGAGGCTGTTATGGTGGGATATTCTGGTAGTGGCTACACAGACGTAAGATTTGATGAGAGTTTGAAAGAAAAGCCATGAGAAGATAGGGATAGAAAGTGGGCCAAAGGAAAAAGATAGAAAGGCAAACTACTTACCCGATTAAGAAGAGGAAAGAGTAGAGGGAGAAAAGAGACAAGAAGAGAGACTTGTTCAGAAAACCAATACTATGCAAGGATGCAATGGAAATTCAAGTAGTGATGATATAGAATAATAGGACTATAACAAGAAATGGAAGAACTGTGAACAACCCCAAAATTGTGGATGAATATGAAATATACAGTGCCTATTGTTTGCTCACAGCAACTCCAGATGAGCCTAAGAGTAATGCAGAAGCCTGTAAAACTGCAGAGTGGAGAGAAGCCGTAGAGAAGGAAATTGAATCTCGTGAAAACTCCCAAACTTGGATTCCAGCAGAACTTCCTGTATGTCAAACAACTATAGACACGGCATGGATTTTTAAAATAAAAGAAGATGGTACCTACAAAGAAAGCAAGATTGGTTGCAAGAGGTTTCCTACCATATAATGAAAGTGATGAATTCATTAATGCCCCAGTCTGTGGGTTAGCTACTTATATCAGTGTCTTTACAGAATGGTTGAAAACTTTATCAGATTGATGTTCCTACTGCATTTCTAAACGAATTCCTAGAAAATGATCTGTACATTAAGGCACCTGAAGGCATGAACACAGATGCAAAATATTGAGACGTGCTTCATATGGACTTAGAAATGCGCCCAAATGTTGGAACGTGAAGTTTAATCAAGTCATCACAAGTTTAAATTTTCAAAGATCACAATATGACTATTGTTTATTTGTTGATGATGCTCTGATAATTGTATCAGAAGATCATGTCAAAAGGAACTTATTAACAACTTGTTTCGCGAATTTAAAGTCAAATCAGCGTATGGAGTGAAAACATTTTTTGGAATGGATTTGTAGAGGAGTGACAAATGATATCCAAATTACCCAGAAAAGAATGATTAAAAGCCTATTAGAAGAATTTAGAATGGACGAGACTCGGTCACTTGTCTAATGGAAGTTGATTTTCAAATAGTTAAAATGCTACAGTGGTAGATAATGTTCCATATCGAAGCTTGGTATGTAGTTTAATGTATCTATTTTTAGTGACCAGACCTGATATAGCATAAATCATTTCTTATTTGTCCCGATTTTTGAATAAACCCACTTTATGTGCATGGAAAGTAGCTCAGAGAATTCTTCGCTATCTAAGCTGTAATATTGACTATGTACTAACGTCTACCAAATCGGATAATGAACTTATAGGTGTATGTGATGCTGATTGAGGAGGTGATCATCATACTCGCAAGAGTGTAAGTGGATTTGTATGTTTTCATGGAAAGAATCCAATAACCTGGTATTAAAGAAAACAGAAATGTGTCTCAGTGCCCTCAATGGAGGCAGAGTACATTTCTGCAGGACTGGCAGCACAAGAACTTGTTATTCTTAAGGGTGTTCTTAGTGACATCACAGGTATTTGTGGACCAGTGAATTTGAAATTAGACAACTTGAGTGCCATTATCTATGATAAAGGACTGTGACAATTCTAAGCGTAGCAAACATATACCTATATATAAAATATCATTTTATCAGAGATCTATATTTGAAAGGAGTTATTAAGTAAGTATGTTTGTTCTGTAGAAAACTGTGCAGATATGTTTACAGAATCTATAGGTCAAAAAAATATTGTAAAGTTAAGATAATGTTTGTTAAACCAATGTACTATATAAAGAAATTGTGATATACTGTATGTGATTTAAACTGTATTAAGCAAAAAATGTGAATTTGTTAATACCTACATCATCTAAATTGAAGGGGTGTGTTGAATATAATAAGGTGTAGGATATGGAGATTCACGTTTTACCACACATATTATTGTTTCACCTGTACTTTATCTGTTTTTGTAGTGACATTTCGAAACAATCGCAACCTCAATTACTGGGGGAGAATTTCAAACATAAAATTCAAAAAAATCGTCAAGTTTTAGGTCATTACTTTAAAAAAATGAGATTTTCAAAATTTGAGGCTCTCGGTGTTTAACATCTATAGGCTCTAATCCCATAACATGCCAGATAGTATTTCTCATTCTACAATGCCCAATTATGAGTATTCACAGGCTTCAGTTCCTTCCCTATAGAATAGGCTGGGTCGTAATAAAGTATTTTGGATTAAGTAAAAATTACAATCAACAGTTTCTTTTATTAATTCATTTGATTCAAACATTAGACTAGAAATTACAAAAATATAACATAATATTCACATTTTGTTTACTTTGGTATTAAACATTTGGCATTGTTAATATTATTTTGTGACTGTACAACAATGACGAAACAATTATTATTTACATTTTGTACAAACAATATTTCATAAACAAAAAAATAATTGGTTATTTTTCCAGAATTAATAATGGTCATAATTTTTTCCTAATGAGCCTATCACAGCCGGTTTTAAGTAGCTAGGACCAGTGAGAACATCAGCAGCAGCGCCAGAACTATTGAGGCTTGAAGAGGATTTTTGCCGCTATCTGGAAAAAAATAGAATAGATTGAAAGTAAATACTAATAATTATTATAGTTAGAATGAGTTAGTAGGTATAGTTCATTCAAAATGTTATTAGAAATAAAATATGGAATATGTACTACCAAACAGATAGGTATACATATGAAAATGAAGACACATATTATTAGTTATTTGGTTAAGTTATGGTTAATACTGAAAACAATCAACCAACTAAAACAAGCAGACAAAAATCCCACACTACGCAGATCAACAATTTTGAGTTGTACCTTCATTTTCAAAAAGGGTTTCCTCTGTGGTACTATTAACACCAGGGTCATCTTCATAAATAAGGGTAGGGCTGGGTTCAGTGTCTAAATCATAATCTAGCGAGTGCAATATAATAAGAAATGAGTTATTTGCTTAGAGAAGAGCGGTTAGAGTTAACTGGTGCATAAATTTGCGTGCGTTTGCTAGATAAGCTGAGTCAAGCGTGAAAAATCATGAAATTGGGAAATTACAATATAAAAGGGTTTTTATCTTAACATTGACATCGCATTTTTTGTGAAATCCTAAAGTTCCAAGCATAAAATGAACTTGTCTTTGTTGTTGGGATTATTGAAAGAAGAATCCCGATCCCTATAAATAGGTAGGTACTTGTATTGGGGCTGAAACGTCTTTATGTCCTTCCTTTTTCACTTTCCTTGAGCCTGAGGTGTGTATTTGTTTAGAAAGTCATTGCTTCTTTCAGATTGGAGTTTTTCTGATTCAAGACAAAATTGAAATAATAGTTAGGCGTTTTATCCTCTTGTTAACTGTGAATAATTGTTTACAGAATGTTTCAGGAAATCTGGCCGTTTGCAACTATTATTTAATATTTGTTGCTTGACAAATATACTGGAAATTTTCATTGAGTTCCTATTGATACTGTGGTGTCCTTTATTCTATATGTTCTGAACCCAGTGAACCCACCCAAATAATAACTAAGGTGTTCACTTTGTAAGCTTGTTGTTCAACTCTCCAAAAAAGGAAATAACGTGTTCTAAGCAGAAAACTTCGATTTATGCACCTGTTAATCGTGAATCATAATAATTAAAACTATGTTTTAACTCACCGACAAAATACTCCACACTCTTTACTTCTGTATAATTTGTGCCTGGTATGCTCAATCGACAAACAAACTTAGTCGACTCTGAGAGGTAGCTGGAGTTGAAAGACAGAGTGATTGAAACATTGTAGACTCCTTCAATGTCGGGAGTTATTCGTTTGCTTTCGGTGAACATATCGGATGGGATTTCTAATGAACCATTCCTAAATAAAATAACTTTTTTGTAAATACTTTTCAATGTAAACAAATACCATTCAAAAACGATCATAGACTTATTACTGACATACAACTTGGCCCATAGAAAAAGCAAACACAATACCAGCTCATTAATTTGTCAAGTTATAGCTTTGATTGGTTCTAGTGACTGTTACACAAAGATATGATCGTTCTTGAATGGTTATTGCCGAATTTGGACCAAATCCAATAAAAACTTACTCTGAAGAAATGTAAATATCAAAATCTGGCTTTGGGGAAACATTCAACGCGTCACAAAGTACAACTTCGTCTCCTTCAAATTCGTCGTCGCCCCCGATTAGGAATATTTCAAAAGAAGTTGCAGGAGCTACAAAAAAATAAATAAATAATTTCCATCATCTTCGTCCTAAACATTTTACTTTCTTGTTAGCCTCGTGCCGTTCTGTTACCCATGGCTGATTCATTACAAAGAATCTGCCGATTCCTTTCTACATACGTTTCAACCTCAATTTCAATGTATAATTAATTGTATGCATATTTTTGTCTGCACCTAAGATTTTCATTCAAAATCTGCTATAAATGACATCATAGAATATAAGTTTTGGAAAAAGTGTTTCAAAACGTCAAAGGATGCCGTATCATCTAGGAGAAGGAACATTTGGATGGACCAAACATCTGCCAAAGGCATAGAGGTTCCACTTCTGAGATATTTCTGAGGAACCAAAGATAGAAACTGAGAACTCAGAAAGCCTAAAGGCAAAACTCAGACTCAGAAAGTTGTATGAAATGTGCTGAGAAAATAGACTTTGAAAAAGCCGTGTTTTATTTTCCAAACCATTTATCACCTTGTCTTCAACATAACAAATAATTACAATCGGTAAACTGTCATACTTCTTGTGATGGTAGTAACACATAGTAATACCGATATAAAACATGGTGTCAGGTTATTAAGTGCTTTTGGTGTCATAGAGAAATATAATAGTAGTAAACTACTGCTAGTTTGTTGTTACAAGGTTGTTATAAGTCAGTGAAAAGCTCGCTAGTGGACTGTTGTTACGTTGTTTGTAAAAAAGTTACCTAGCCTAAGAAACATGGAGAGTTTATTTCGGCCCCCGGAGCCCCTTGTTACTGATGGCAATATAGCTGATAATTGGAAAAAATTTGTTCAAAAATTTGATGTTTTCTTGACGGCGTCTGGACTGGATAAAAAACCGGAGGAAACTAAAGTGGCCGTTTTCCTAAATCTTGTAGGAGTTGATGGGCTCGAGTTGTTTATTAGTTTTACATTTACTGAGCAGAAACTAAAATCGCTAGACAGTATAAAGAAAAAATTTCAGGAATACTGCTCGCCTCAAGAAAATGCGATTTTTGAACGGTTCAAATTCAACAGTATTGGCCAAAGAGATGGCCAAACTTTTGATAGTTTCTTAACAGAATTGAGAAAAGCAGTGAAAACTACAGGATTCTCTCAGCCAGATGAAATGATAAGAGATCGTGTGGTCGTGGGTATTTTTGATAAAAATACCCAAGAAAGGCTCCTGAGAGAGTCCAAGCTAACTTTAACCAAAGCAAACCAAAGCAGAGCCACAAAACATAGACCAAGATTTTGCAGAATGAATCACAGATTAATGCAATCAAAACTAGGAAGTATAGCTTCCAAAACAGTAAGAAAAGTAGTACCGCTAATAGTTCAAGTGGTAGTCATGGCCAAAGTTTGTGCAAATTTTGTAGCTATAAACACATACTAAATGGTAAATACCCGGCATATGGGAAAACATGTGCAGCTTGCCAAGGAAAAAACCATTTTGCAGTAATATGCCCTGGTGAAGGTTCTAGTAAGCCACACAAAAAATCTAGCGAGACAGTCATGGAGGAAGCCTGTACACGAACTGGAGAAAGAGTACACAACAGAACGAGGAAGTAGTGACAGCTTTAGTGAAAGTGAGTCTTTCTACGTGGACTCACTGTGTCGAGTCAGTTCTATGAAGTCTCGAAAAATTGATAAGGTGATCAGTGAGTGCGACAGCAGAGACAATCAAACTGAGATGGAGAATGACCGGAGACAAGTTGTGCAAATCGAGAACAAAAATCAGGTAGAATTTAAGCTTGACACTGGGGCTGAGGTAAGTGTTTTGCCTCTACATGTTCTCAAAGAGTTAAAAGTTAGTTCTCTTTTAAAACCAACCAAAGTAACCCTTGTGTCATATGGTTGTAGTGGTTTCAGGATAAAACCTCGAGGTGAAGTTAGTTTGTCTTGCGAAATCAACAACTGTAAAGAAACTCTTGAGTTTTTCGTTATTGACTCCATGACTCCACTGACCAACTACCTTTGCTTGGGTTATCTGCTTGTTTAAAGCTAAAACTAATTAAGAGATTAGCTAGTATTAGTCCAGGACTCAATGTCAATTTCAAGTCTCTCGAAGATGTTAAGAAAATGTATGCTAGTGTTTTTGATGGTTTAGGTTAGTTTCCAACTGAGCATCATATTTCTTCGAAAAAAGATGCCGTTCCACATATTCAGCCTCCCAGGAGAGTTCCTAGAGCATTGCATGATAGATTGAAAATAGAGCAATTTGAAGTTCAAGGTGTAATTAAAAAACTTGACGAACCAACTGAGTGGCTGAATCCTTTAGTCATAGTGGAAAAAAGTAATGGATACTTGAGGTTGTTCCTAGACCCCAAGTATTTGAATAAGGCAATTCAGCGTGAACATTTTTTAATTCCGACTTCTGTGCTGTGCTTTTTGGTGCTTGATATGAAAGACGGTTATTTCCAGATCAAAATTGACAATCATAGTTCAAAGTACACAGCTTTTGGCACACCAGTTGGGCGATTTGAATTTTTGCGTTTACCTTTTGGCATTTGTTCTGCCCCGGAAGTCTTTCAAACGAAAATTTATGAAATATTTGGGGACTTGGACGGCGTAGGGCTCTATTTTGATGACCTTATAGTTACAGGTGGAAATCAGTTCGAACATGATCTTAAAATATCTAGATCTAAATTTATGAGAGAGGATGTGATGGTAGTAATACAGGTACTGTCGACAACACCAGTGACGGTAGTTGTCAGTTGAAAAGTTCTGTTGCCTAACTGCCCCTTACATGTTGCATGGGTCTTAATAAAACAGCACGAGTTAAACACACTAATAGTTATTTTATTTTTATCCATTGACGATATAAAACAATACTTACAGTATACAATTACTTGTTTCGTAAGTGAGTGAAACCCATCGTCACTATCCACCTTACAAGTAAAATTCCCCGTGAGCTCTGAACTAATCTTCTTAAACCTCAACGCCCTATATGTACCATTAGATTGCTCCGAAGCTCGGTAAGTAGGATCTATAAATTCCTTCAAACTTCCCGAAGCATAGGCGTGGTCGTTCGGAATAATCCATTGGTATATCTGGTCCTCTAAGCCGTTAAAGAACCATTTAAGGACTACGTCGTTTTCGTTTTGTGCCTCGAATTCACAATCCAGTATCAGTTCTTCTGTCGTGCCAAGTTCTATGGAATCTGGGCCGATGATGTCAGTTACTTGAAGAGTAGCGTTAACTAAAAACATTTTAAAAAAACAAATTAATTTTCCACATATTATTATTGTTGCTTTGGTAAGTTTATGGCAATGAGCCAAAAACACTAAAACAAATTTTTAATTTTATTTTTATCCCATCCCATGTGAGTATAGAAATCACAAACGTTCAAGTTGTGGGAGATCCGTGCAAAATTCTTGATTCGATTCATGTCTGAAAATAACTTAGCATTGACTTTTGGGCATCTGGATACGATCGTTGATAATGTTCTGCCAACTTATTGCAACCATAGCATAATTTGAATCGATTGAAACGATATTTGAATATTGTCAATATTGAAATAATCCATGAAGCTACAGTGTAGCTGAAACATTTTAGTGGATTTCAATAGCATATCTAGTAACAGCATAAAAAATTATTGCCCCTATGAGTGTACCTATATCCTGGATATTAGTACTCAAACAATATTCCAAGTGTTTTCATGCAGGCCTATTTTTCACGCAATTTAAGATTGTTTTATAAGCTTTGTCTAAAAATATCCAATACTTTTTAGCTCCAACGTTTTACTACCTAGGTAATTAAAAAGTTAATTAAAATCTAAAATGTCAGCACAAACACGATAAGGCGATAAAATTGGCTTTCTTTTGAAAATTGATATTCCTAATTGGATTTTTTTATCGGACATTGCGTAGTTAAGTAGTCACCTATAATAGTTACATTGAAAATGTGATAAAATTGTTGATAAAACTGACTCTGTTATTAATAGAAGCTAATCACGGCTTGTATGTATATAAATTTTCGGACTTAATTCTTAAAAACTAGTATAGGTTCTATAACTGCCATTTCTGTGGAAAATCTAGTTACTTTTCCTTGGGCTTTTAAACAAAGCTTATGTCAAAATAGCATATCTTTGTTGAGAAGAAGACCACTGCCTGAACTACTCTGTTCATTGTTTTTGTTAGACATAACAGATTCAGTAAAAATGTAACTTGATGCAAAAACGTTTTTATAAGAGATTTGAGTTGCTGACATTAAATATACTGGCACAGCGACCCTGATGTATTTATTTACCCAGGCTTAAACTGTAATTTGATATTTTCTGTAAATGGCTTGGCCTGTTTTTTATTGCGAGTGATATTTAATGGGTATCAAAAGAGGCTAAAATTATAATGAGAAATGCATTGGAATGCAAACAAGTCTGGCAGTATAAGCAGTTCAAAAATAAGAGAGTGTTTGTTTAAACAAACATGCTAGTTTCTCAAGGAAGAACAAGAATGGAAAGTGTCTCGATTATTGGGAGCTACAACCCAAATAGCTAAGGATGTATTGGAGATTCAACCAAAAAAAAAATGCAGATTTCTTTTAAAAATCAAGATGCTTAACCTTCGAATTTTTCAAACAATTTGTACGTAACTATATTTTTTAATATTTCCATAAACAATCCCATTTATATTCATTATCATACACTGAAGACATTGACCATCAGTGGCCGGAAATTAACCCCAGAGTATATCCTGACCGGATGCGTTTAAACCATATGCTTCAGTCCGACATTGATTATGTCTGGTGTAATTTTACCTCAAACACACAACTTTTGAAATAATGTATGTGTATACAGGGTGTGCAAATTAAATAACATATCGTATATGGCTTTGGTCAAAGAAGTTCATGTATTTTTATGATTGATTTCGAGGTGGGAAAGGAGTATGAGAGTCGTGCTGCTTTTCAGTTTTTGTTTTTTCTGGTTTTAGTGTACCTACTTTTCATGATTTCTGTAGCGTTTTTCTCTTCTGGTTCATTTCATTCCCAAACAGCAGAGAAGTATTTTTGAAGACTTCCCTAAGATGTTACCGAACGACATTCAAGACGTCTGCGGAAAGTTTTTTGGCATGTTCTAAATAGCTTATTGAAAGTTCTAAAGTATTCTAACTTGGCTTGAATAGAATAGTTCTGGAGCATTTTAGAAGTTTTTCAGTAATTTCTAAATTGATCTGACAAATTTTTAGGTATTTAAGAGCCCTATTAAAGCTCCAAAGTGTTCTGAATTTGTTCAAAAGAGTTCTAAAAGGTTTCCATTTCTAAATTGAATCCTATATTGTTCTATAATAACTCATCTAAAGTTTCTCAAAATTGTTCGAAAATGCTCCTGAAAGTTCTGTTTGTAGCTTTCAACCTTAATCCTAAGATTCGGGCACTTTTCAAAATCGCTCTGGAGATTTGTTATGATATTTTACCTTTACCTTATCAATCTTATTACAGTAGACTCGCGCTAGTGTGAACACGCGGTTCTGTGAACCTCCCAGTAGTATGAACAGCCAGAATGAATACATTATATATTCTGTAGTGTGAACTTTTGAGAATCTCGATAGTATGAACAATGTATTTAACCACGAATTTAATCGTATTCTGCCTACTTGTTGTTTTCATTTGTTGTTTCCGTCCGATTTTGGGGTTTCCCGAATGTTTCGAGACAAGGAATGCACAGGGTTGTTATTCTTAAAACAGGGAAGCAGCGTTCCCAGGAGAACGAGTGTTTTGTCTTTCATTCTAATGTGAAATATACCATGTGATTAACAAGTGGCAACGCGTCTAGAGTTCAAAAGTCCTATAAGTTTTTAGTTCGTTGTTTGACGTGGTCAATAGGTTTTGTGAAAATGGAGAAAAACAAAATTATTTTTTAACTTCCTATGGGTCTGTTCTCACAAGAGTTTCTGACAGTTTGTACAGGGACTTTTGAGAGAACAGACCTTATGAGAAGCCAAAAATTCTAAAAGATTGCCAATAAGGCAAGGGCATATTGGCGGTAATGACACAGAAAGCCTAAGAAACTTTTGAGAGAAAGTAAGTAACCATCCAGTGGTCAGCTAGAACCATTCAGACAAAATAGACATCTTATTTCAATCAATAAACTGGAAAAATTTGATTAATGAATATGTTTGCAAGTACCTATTGTAATAATTTTTCTTGAATTTTAAGTTTAGAGACCATTGCTGACAGTATTTTGCATTTAAAGGTAGACCTTCGATGGTGTGAACATCTCGATAATATGAACACGTCCGGTTTTTTTGTGTTCACACTAGCGCGAGTCTACACTGTATTAGTCATCCGTTATGTCTTTTTTGTATTATCAATTATTGTCATTATTTTTTTAACTTTGTCAAGCTTTGGTTTTGGTGAATTAAAGCCTTACAATTATAATAAAGGTTTCACTACAATTTAATTCACAAGTATTGAACTCCGCCACAATTGGCCTTTTAACACGAATTAGTAATGTTACTTTACCAAACTCTACCTAATATAATGTGACAAGTTATTCAAACACAAATCAGTGAATTATTGCGGAACTTATGGGTGGACCTCTGCGGGACGAGAGCAGCGAGTTCCGCAGCCATCTATTCATCAATATGTTGTTTAATTACGATACCAAACTGACTCACTCAAATGTGCGTTATTCTCATTAGTTTAAATATTACACATTTCAGATGAATGTCTTATTACTTGAACAGTTCAATAGTATATGGTGATTAGATGGCTGCGGAACTCGCTGCGCTCGTCCCGCAGAGGTCCACCCATAAGTTCCGCAACAATCTACTTATTTGTACTTGAACAATAGCTTATTATATAAAGTCAGAATTTGTAAGATTATCCACTTTTTGTCAATTTGCCTTTCAACAGGAATTAGTAGCGTTACTTTACCAAACTAGTAATATAATGTGACAAGTTATTCAAGTACAAATGAGTGAATTGCTGCGGAACTTATGGGTGGACCTCTGCGGGACGAGCGCAGCGAGTTCCGCAGCCATCTATTCATCAATATGTTGTTTAATTACGATACTAAACTGACTCACTCAAATGTGCGTTATTCTCCATTAGTTTAAAAATTACACATTTCAGATGAATTTCTTACTTGAACAAATCAATAGTATATTGGTGATTAGATGGCTGCGGAAGTCTTTGCACTCGTCCCACAGAGGTCCACCCATAAGTTCCGCAACAATCCTTTTATTTGTACTTGAACAATAACTTACTATATAAAGTCAGAATTTGTAAGATTATCCACTTTTTGTCAATTGGCCTTTTAACAAGAATTAGTAATGTTACTTTATCAAACTAGTAATATATTGTGACAAGTTATTCAAGTACAAACGAGTGGATTGTTGCGGAACTTATGGGTGGACCCAGCCATCTATTCACCAATATGTTGTTCAAGTACAATACTAACCTGATTCACTCAGTTGAGAATTTTTCTCATTAGTTCAAAAACTACACGTTGCAGGTGAGTGTCTTATTTGAACAGTTCAACAGTATATTGGTGAGTAGATGGCTGCGGAACTCGCTGTGCTCGTCCCGCAGAGGTCCACCCCTAAGTTCCGCAATTATCCACTTATTTGTACAGGGTGTTTTTTTTATGTACTGACAGCCTTTATCTTCACAGGTAGAAGAAAGGTGTAAATACAAAAGTTGTACAGTTTAGGCTGAATTTTTAGAAATCATGGTCAGAAACAAAATTTGAATGTCAGAAATGTAAAATGTTTTGCATGCTTCCAGCTTTTTTCAAATGGGATGCCCTATATTTCATTCTATATTCCTGAGGAGCACAATGCCCCTATCTATAATAATCTATATTTGATTACATTATAACACTTGATAAAATACTGTTGCCTTGTTAAGAGCTCTTGAAGATGCTAGCAGAAAACACTCTGAAATCATATGGTGCTAACTACCAAGTACTGAATGCGGTAAATTCCAAAAATTGTCAATGAGAATCTACAAGAACAATCAGAAGTATCGTCTGATGCAGTTAGCAATACATCGCAGAAATGCTATTTTTGTGAAAATAACAGGCACATACGAACCCGCTAGAGACCAAGTGTGTTCATATTGTAAGAAACCAGATCATTTCTCGCAATTATGTATGAAAATGAGGTCTAAAAGTAAATTGACCATATAGCCTCATTTATCGCCTCAGCTTCATTTTCCCATTTCTTATCCAAAGCTTTAGTAAAACGAAAAATCAACTGTATTCCAGCTAAATTTCTTATTGATACTGGTAGCTCTGTGAGTTTCTGATTATGAGTTTGCTCTCTTGGCCAAGTTTGTATGGCTTCAACTTCTTGTTCTTCTGATATAAAAGGATTTTGTTTGATTGATTTCCAACTAATCGATTATAGCTATCCTAATTTAAAGCTTCCTGTCCTGCCAAAATTGTGTACTGGATGTTATAATGTGATAAAACAACATGATCGAGTTGATATGCTCTTTGGCGGATCAAAACCTATATTATCAATTTGATGCCTTATTCAAGCTAAAGTAGAACCTCTTTCAATATTTTTTAATTCACCAAAAGACCGCAAACCAATTGCTACAAAGTCTCGTCGTCATTCAGAAGAAGATCAATCCTTCATTCAGGTGGAAGTTAAGAGACTACTTCAAGAAGAAATTATTGAAAGCAGTACTTCATTCACCTTGACGTGCTCAAGTTTGGGTTACAAGAAACGAAAATCATAAACGCAGAATGGTAGTGGACTATTCTCGAACTGTAAATAAGTATACATTGCTAGACGCATATCCATTAACTAATATTGAGACCATCGTTTCCAAAGTCGCAAAATTTCAAGTCTTTAGTACGATTGATTTCAAAAGTGCGTATCATCAGATTCCAATACATAATGATGACAAACCTTTTACAGCATTCGAAGCAGGTGGACCACTTTATCAGTTTCGACGCATCTTTTTTGGAGTAACTAATGGAGTATGTGGTTTTCAAAGGGTTAATGACAATATAATTGAGAAAGAGCGCTTGAATAAAGCTGTATTTGCTTATTTGGATGATGTGACAATAGGGCAAGAAAATCATGACTTAAATCTTCAGAACTTCATGCGAGTGGTTGAGAAATACAATTTGACACCAAGTAAAGAAAAGTGCACGTTTTCATCAAGATCAATAAATGGTCTAGGTTATAGTTATATCTTTCTAGTATTGTCAATTATTATCATCATTTTTTTAACTGTAAGCTTTAGCTTTGTGAATTGAAGCCTTACAATTCTAATAAAGTGAGTGAGAGTGTTTGGAGTGTTTTGGAGCATATGTAAATGGGTTTCAAACTTTTGAATTGTTCTAAAATGATTTTGGAAATTGTAAATCGGTACCTACCTAATTGAATGTTTTGGGGCATTGTATAATGGCGATACAGAATGCTTTTGGAAATTCTGAATTGAATTTAAAGTGTTTTGAACTTTCGAAAAGGCTTAAAGTTTTTGTTGCATTCTAAAATGGTTTCCAGTAACTTCGAAATTGAATGAGAAACGGATTATGTGAGAAATTTTCGTGGACATCTTCAAGTCTTTCCTAAGATGTCGATAAACGATATTCAAGACGTCTTCACATCTTTTGAAGATGATCGTATCAAACTCTGTCGTATGTTACAAAACAAAAACAGACGTCTGCCTATAAAGACGTTAGGGCTAAGACATTTTAAAGACGTCTTTAAATCTCTTTTCAATATAAACCATTATACACTGGCTTTGGTTGTACCAAATAGTTGTAGGAGATGTAAATTTACGACATTTTCAAAATAACGTCTTTTTTTTGGTTTTCAGACGTTCAGACGTAAATTCAGTTTTTTAGCACATTCAAGTTGTCCCATTTCAATACATATTTTGTTTTGTATATATTTTTTTTATATTCCATTATTAAATAATGTTATCAAATGTAGGTATTTCTCTAATAGATCTTTTCAAAGCACTCGATTTAAATGAATTTAATTTCATAAAGCGCATTAACACTGGGCTTCAATCTGACATAAAGTGATCTTTGTATAATTGAATAACGAGACGTTAACCCGTATGTTGTTCAATCCAAAGAAGTTTAAATATTCGGAAAATGTATGACCCAAAAAAAACTGTTTATTAGGTATTATTAATTCAATCCACCTATTTTCTATTTTTAATTATGTTCCAGTAGCCAATTTTTGGATTGATTCCAAAACATCCAATGACGAAATAAAATAGATTGGCAAAATGTATTCTGGATTATGACCTAAACTTTGTAGACAAATAAAAGTTCAATAATACCAAGGGCATTATTCTAACAAAAGGTGTTTAACGTTACAAATAAATTATATCAGTTTTTTCCCCCCTTAATGGTTCAGTGATTTACCACCATAACAACCATCTGTTGGTAGAGGAAACACCGAAGCGTGGCGAGCGGTGTTAGCAATAGTGACCCTTAGTAGTCCTAGAAGTTTACCAGTAATATGAAGATAGTACCTAAGAAAAGGGGCACGTGCCACAGGAAGTTTGTGCACGAGCGCGTTTCCGTCTTAGTACAAACACAGACTTTTAATTATTGTCTGTTAAAGACGGTTTGTGGTTAGCATAACTTTTCTTATATTCTTATAAAGTGGAATTTTGATACCATATTAGTTTATCTGTTTCTTTAATTCTACCTCATATCTTCTAATCCAGGCAATTGTCAGTTTTCCCGAAAAAAAGGCTTTGGTATAGGTACTTTTTGCATTTATTAGGAAAACAGTTATTTTCAATGTAACTTTGTTAAGAAAAAATGGAAGAGTAAAGAAGAGTAATTTTATGTTAATTTTCCGGAACTAAATACATACCGCCAACAACTGTAAATTTCTCAAATGATTTATTATCAAGAACAGTTAGTGACTTTGTGCTTAGAAAGACTTTATCAGATGTAATTAAAAAATCTTTGCTAATTGGTTGGCTTTTTTCCCATCTTGTTAACTAGCGTATTAACAATAAGAAAAATAGTTTTCCTAATGATCAAATTCATCTTCAACTTTTTGGTTTTAGTTTCCAATATTTCTTTTTTCACTTAAACTGAACCAAACTTACCATGACTAAAGAAAAAAAACCAGTATCCAAATATTCCAAAAAATCTAATCACATCCATATTACATCACTTGAAAAATCACTAAAGAAATGATAAGGACGTCCCGCCGCGTAGTTTTTTGAAAAACAAGGAGCGCGCCAAGGCGTTCAAGAAGTGATGTCTGGGCGCTGTTATAGCAAGGACTAGGTGGCTATTTTAAAGTTACGCCAGGCTTGCTATCATAATCGTCCAAGCATGCACCAGGGGGGCTTTTATGTAAAGGTGTCCGGTACGTTGCGATGTCATTTTCTATTCCAGTCAAATTAAACTGAACAAAAGAGGACGACCGAGTTTTTAAAAATAACTTCAAATGACGGTTGTATGTATATCTAGTTGGGGGTGGTTTATTCAACACCTATTAAAATTTTTCTAAGGGATCAAAGAACACAAAAGTTTTCAGTTTTAATAGTTTTATTAGGTAACTTAGGAATGATTTAACAAAAGGTTTATAAATGCATATACAAGGTGGACAAACTCTTTAAATTCTTAAATTAATGATGCAACAATTGTTCTATATTATATAGAATAAACATACATATGTCTTTGTTCTTACAAGTCACAAGAATTTTATTGGTCTCAAGAGCTTCAAAAATGTTTGCCTCTTCAGAACTACTACAAAAATCAACCAATCAATGTCCTGTTTATATCTGATATTGAAGCTAAGACTCATTTTAGATTACTATTTAATTTTTTTTTGAAAATACTTAAATATTTGGATGATTAGTGTAGGAAAACTATCTCAGGTTGTCCAAATATCCCTTAAACAAAGATAAAAGCGACACAGTTCCTCTTTATCATTGCATTTTTGTAACTTTGATATATATTCCTAAAAAAAAATAGGTTTCCAAAAAAAAAAAACGCCCTTAAACCATGTTCTTACCACAAATCTTTTTTTCATCTCCTTTTCATCCTCAACTTTAACAGTATCCTTCTTCCAGAAATAATTTTTCAATTTAACCATATCAGAAACATTGCTTTCAAGGGTAATTGATTTTAGTTCTTTTTTGAAAGTTACTGAATGTTTAGCAGAACCAGTTGAAAGTTTTACAGTGACATCATTTTTTGAATCATTTGCAATTAAATCAGAAAATTCTTCAATGTCAATGTTATGATAACAGTTTTTTATTAATAAGTTTAAAAACTCTCTATGATCGATTTTTGTTAGGAATTTATACTCAACTAAAAGTGGTTTATATTTGTTTTTAAAATTAGACGAATTATAACATTTTGAGATTTCTACAATTTGCCTTTCTTTAGACATTTTATGTTTAAATTTCCTTAACATTTCAAAATGGTAAGAAATATCAACATTGACTTTATCAAGTAAAACACAAGTAAGATTATCTTTAGTATGTGAAATAATACTAACTGAAACTTGACAATCAATGATTTTTTGATCCACTGGAACTACTTCAATTATAGGGATTTTAAAATGTTTCACTGGAATAGTTTTAGAAAAAGTTTCGTTACGATGTTTAATAGAAATCAGCAAAGACCAATTCATATATTTTAAATGTTTCTGTAAAGAGTTTGTAATAAATACTTCTACCATATAAAATTTAACATTTTTATGTCTCATTAGATCTTGAAAGCTGTCAGTTATATCTTCTGAATACAAATTAAAAAGCTCCATAACATCACTGAAAATTTTAACATTTACGTGTCCTAATTTTTGAGGCAATTTCAACTTGGAAAGACTTGAAATAATAAGATTGCTATTGGCTTTTTCAATTTCTTGTTTTAGTTTTTGGGATTTTTCGTGTTCAATTTGGATTTGGGCTATGATGCTTTCGTACATAGTTAGTTGAGAAGATGATAGGAAATCCATCTGGAAAAAAAACGTTTTTTTAATATTTTTGATGTTTTGTACGCAAAAAGTTTATATTCTTTTAGCAGAATATTTAGTAAACTACTTTATTCTGAATGATGTGGCGTCAATTTCTGATGTAAACAGCGCTAATGCACTGAATTCTGAAGCCCCCTCTACCGCCGAGAAAGAGACAATGATACAAGTGAACTTTTTTCAGCGATGCTACTTTACATTCAATCGTTAAGGAATAAAAATAATGAACTCTCCCTTTTTTGAAAGGATTACAACTTGCCAAATATAGTTTTATTGACGGAACATTGGTTGAGGCAGGATGAACTGTTACAAATGTCGGATTCTGTGGTTTTGTCAAAGTTTTGTAGAACTCAGTTTATACATGGAGGCTGTATGCCGTTTGAGTTTGTCATAATTTTATCCATATCTCGAAATTTATACATAATCTGTGTCTCTCATCTGATAGTGATGTGCTCCTTACAGGGTTAGATGAAATCCTATCTAATATCTCAAGCTCTGCCTGTATAATTCTAGCCGAAGATCTTAATATAAATTTCGATGAAAGGAGTTCTACCTGGATAATGCACTTGAGTCATTTATTTGACTCTCATCATAACTTGCAAATGCATGTTTAATCGCCGACGCGTATTACTCGATATTCATCTAGCATCATTGACTACATGTCATAGAGAAATGTGTTCCAACTTCTGTAGCGAGCTTATTAGATGTACGGTCGAAAAAGCAGCGTGACGCAATTCTTTCCAACGTTCTAGAATCCAAGAAACAGGATCTTCAGTACGGAGTGGCCGAATTTTTTGCAGCAAAAACTCTACATGCTGGGAATCTTTACTTGAAGCAGAGGATCCAATATTCACCTTCCATACCATGGTAGTGGGCCTGTTTTACATAACTTTTCCTATTACGAAAATTAAACCCAAAAAACAGTCCAAAAAGACCTGGTTTACTAAGGGACTAACTGTTTCTTCAAAAAATCTTCGCTCACTCCATATGATATAATATTCCGAATTAATTTTTCTTCTTCCCAACTGATCTTGAAGAAATAAAAAGCACCCTACGATCGATAAAAAATAAAAACAGTTTAGGAGAGGACGGCCTTTCCGCAAAAATTTTTCTCAACTTGCCTGAGCTTGTATTGTTAGTTCTGGTGAGGGCAGTCAATAGGTCATGAAAGACTGAAATTTTTTCTTCATTTTTAAGAACAGGTTATTCCGATCCAGAAGGAGAGAAATTCGGATGACTCTTCGAACTTTCGGCCAATCTCACTCCTCTCTACCTTGTCCAAGATCATAAAGAAACTTGTGAAGACACGTATAGTAAGCATACGTCATCGAGTCTAATGAGATCCTCAGCAGGTGCCAGTTCGGATTTCGTGAGAGCATCAGTATACCATTTAATGTATGATTTGTACTCTCATATTAATGACGGTGAGTTTTGGCGGCAATTTTTTGTGACCTATCGAAGGCTTTTGACTCTGTTAGCCACAAAGTTCTGCTGCGGAAACTTCAGAACTTCACTTCAGCTTGGGGAGTTTCTTTACACTGGTTTTTGTGGTACCTGCTTGGTACACCTACTGTATTTGACTGCAATGATTGCATCAAAGATGATAGTTGACTGCATTGACTTTTGAGCAATTTTGAGCAATTTCGAACAAGATTGCAGGCTTAACTCACAGCGACTGCCTCGATTTTTCGCGAGTGTATTTATTACGATTGCAAACGACTGTATTACGACTGCATGAGGCCATGTCCATTGACAACATGAGAATGTATGGACTGCAGAAGAATGTATGGACTGCAGAAGAATGTATGCACTGTATATACGAATGTATGATATTTGTACATGCATTATGCGACCACATTTCTTTCGGGAGAAAATATTAACTCTCCCATCTCTATACATCCTTGAAACTGCTTGCATCGCCTTTAAGTAGCAATCATGGTGAGAAAACTCCAATATTCTCCTATGAGAGTGTTAATATCTTCCACCACCTTTCCTTTGGTATTAAAAACTCGGCAACCACTAGAATATTTAAAATACAGATGAAGAGGTTGCTTATTAGTCATTACAAGGGCCTATTATTCTGCTACGGATTTTTTTGAGGAAGCACTATGGGTCAAAGCCTGAAACTGACAAGGAATGCTGCATTTGCTTCCTTTAAGGTGGCTTACTCTACTATTGTCTAAGGCTACTATTGTTATAACTGTTAAAATATGCATCTGTCTACAATATGACTATTTATAATGTGAAGAGCTTTGTTGAAAACATCCGATACCTCATTATGGAAATACTTGTTTAGTCTTTTCTTCTACTAAAATTTCTAGTTCTAGCGTTACGTTAATACCTAAGGTTTGTCTGGCCAGTGGATCTGGAGCTACGGAAGGAATTCGAACGAAAATGTGCGATGTTGCCACGTTTAATTATAAAAAAGCAAAAATACTAGTTATAGTTCATTTGAAAATCCATAACGACCATAACTGGTTTCTTCAATTTTTGTCTATTATAAAAGGTAAACAATTCGGCAAACATGCGTCCCAGATGAATCGATTGGTGTTTTTTTGCATGATCGCCATTGCCGTAGGGACCCAAGAACACTCCACACTCCACCAAATAGAATTCCTAATCCTAATCAGGCGAACGTTCGACAGTTCTCGAGTACGCAGCTGGTTTGCGGGTGACGCCATTAGTATCAACAGCTGATAGTGGTGACATCATCCGCAGACCTCAATGGACTGCTTCATTGTTTACGCATGTTGTTTTATTCACTGTTCTGTTGGCAACGTTGTTGGCTGTTGGTCATCAGAGAATTTCTGTTGGCTTGTTGTTGTGCCAGTGAGTTGATGAATAAAACAACAGGTAGAAAACTTTTAATAATGGTTCAGACACAAACGTAGTAAATTCAAAGTTTTCATAGGTCAATGCGACCGCCCACATGGTTGGTAGGTATAATTAAAAACTTTTTATTCTATTCAACTTTATTCTAATCTCTATTTGAAATCTGGATACCACAAAACAGTCAACACTGCTAAAAACCATCTCCTTACAAAGTTGGCTTGGTGGCTCCAACGGTGTAGCCATCGTAAAACGCCGATGGAAAAAACAACACTTATGATCGAGCATCGACTGTTCTTTTGTTGAATTTAACAACGCTTATATGCTCAACGCTGCCAACGTTGCTTCAACAGTTCAATAAAACAACATGCGTTTTGCGATTCAGGTTGCGCTTCTCATATCAACGTTCAGGAATTCGTTTTTTTGACAAAAGGTGTTTTCTCGCGTCTCAAAGTTTTGAAACATTTTTCAAAACTGGTTTAAATCAGTTTCACAATGACATCATAACTTGTGAACGCAAAAAAACGGTTTAAAAACTGGAATGTATAGGTTCATCACGAGAATATACTATTTCGAATCTGGTTTGATCCAGTTTCAAAAAAGTGAACGCGAGAAAACAGCTCTAGTGTTTTAAACTCGGATAATGCATTTTACGCCAAGAGTTGAGGTCTGCGACTGACGTCACAACAGGTTAAGTCTGCTTGATGGGGACAAGGTTCCTGAAGTTAATAGGTTGTCTGGTAATGGAAAACTTGATGACGCATCTGGGGTGCGTTATGGAGATTTGCATTATGTTGTGGCACCCAGGGGCGTCCATAGGAGGGGCAAATGGGGCACTTGCCCCCCCTCCCTAGGCCTGGTGATTATTATTGTTTCATGATGCTACTATTGCTACCAGAATAATAAAAAAACAGAATAGCAAAAGTGATACTAAAAGTTGCTTACACTCGAAATAGAACACGATATATTTTTCTTCAGGCGTTTTTTTCGTGCATTTTTTTATAGTTTATAGCACATAAATAATAAATCAAATCAAAATTTATAAATTATAATTAACAGCCGTATTCAACGTCCTCTTTTTTTTTAATTTTAAAAGCGTTCTGGAACTTGTCACTTTTAAAAATTTGTTAGACATTTTTCAAAGTCGCTGTTAAAGTTAAAAGAAGATGTTGAATACGGCTGTTCTATTTAACATTTTTATTTTCCACTCAAAAATTCAAATTTTGTGTTTAGTTTCTAAGCATCTAGTCTAGGAATTCGATATTTTTATTTTTAGCTCCAAAATTATTATTAATAATAATTGTCAAATTGACATTCTGTCTGTGCAATGTATGTTTATTTACGACTAATGTATAATGTGCGTATTATATTTGTGATTTTGGCAGTATAATGACATATGTTATTCCTCCATGGATTAATGACGAGTAGCGGGATTAATGGTCATTATTCCACAAAAGTGTCAGTGTCAAACGTGTAGGGCTTGTGGATTTGTATTGAAAATTATGAGACGGATGAAATTTGTTCATTGAAAATCTCAAATAAATTAATTTGTCGCAAATAAAGTAGAGTATACTACTCGCAATAATGGCTATTATTCCCTCGGAATGTTACTCCCTCGCCGCTAACGCGGCTCAGTTCGTAATAATCCTCGGGAATAATAGCTATCATTATTGACTCGTGGTATAATCTACTATTATTTTTTAAAATTGTTCTTCAGAAGAGGGCTGTGCGTTACTTGTGCAAGAAAAAATGCACAGAATCATGTAGACCGTTGTTTGTACAGGAGGGAATAATGACAGTGCCATCTCTTTTTATATTGGAATCGGTGAGCCTTGTCTATAAGAAGAATTCCGGTTCTGTTCAGGCGAGTAACTACTAGAGAGTTATTGGACGTGCAATAAGGACAAGCAGTATTTAAATTAGCCTTATTTTGACATCTACGCATGCGCATTTGGGTCTGAAAATAAGGATTCCCTTAATAAGGTTACTGCTTGTCTTTATTTGTGTATGGTTAGTGCGAGGCAGTAAACTTTCCTTATTTCAAATTTCTGACATTTTGGACGACTTTGACGTTTCGCTTTTCGACGGTGACGTAATTTTACTTGGAAAATTTATTTTTTACAGTAGTTTTCCATTTTACTGTGGGTAGCATCGAAAAATGAGTATCGGCAAAAAATCACAAACAAAAATAAACACTTTTTGAGGTTGAAATTTATAAACATAGCTATCAGCTGTCAAAATTATGAATACACAATAAGGTGATACTCTAGCACCTACTATAGTCTTCCAATAACTGTTTTTTTCTTGGAAAAATAGTGCTGATACACTAATAAAATAACGTAGATCCTTAATACTGCGAGGCAGTATTTATTAGTTCCAATAACTCTCTAATATATCCTCCGACAAAATAATGTACCCTTGCCAATCCCTAAATTTACACTCACGAAAAATTCAGTTATTTATGAAAGTATTAAAATGTAGGTACAATCATTTACCGCAACAAATTAAAGAATGCTCTAATTATAAAGCATTTCGTTTGTGTGTCAAACAGCATTTAAGTACCAAAGCCTTGTATAGTGTAAGTGAATTTTATGATGAAAATGCATTATGCAATACTTGAGTGGAATTTGGGTTTTTTAGGTGTAAATGTACTTGTAAGAACTTCGAAATTTTACTAATTTTGGACCGAATTGTGTATTTGTTTGTCTAATAAGGTTCAATTTTTCTTATTTTTTTTGTTTTTTTTTAAGATTAGCTTATGTACTTTAATTAGCCATCTGTCAGATAGGGAAATTCAATATGGCGTGGCGGCCAAGCAAGTTTGTTTTGAATGTGTTTTTATGCGTATTTCAAATTATTTTGCTTAGAGTTTTGCTTGCAACTTTGATTTGGACTATTTAATACAATATTTGTTGACTAGGTACCTAAACTAATAAATCGAGCAGATTCTAGATATTTTTTTCTGTTTTTTGGCCCATGTGTGGCCGCCACGCCAGGTTAGGTTAGGTTAAGTATTTGCTTTGTCAATAAAAATGTAGGTATCTGTTTTTTTTTGGACAATAAAGCTTATTTGATTTGATTTCATTTGAAAATGACATCATTACAAATGAGTACAGTTTAGACTGCTTATGCTGATTCAGTAATATACGTATGTTATGTACGTTACCTAATTTAATGGTCTTATTTGAAAAATCAAAATAAGTCAGGTTTTAGCCCCCCTCCCCCTGAAAAATGTTCTATGGACGTCCTTGGTGGCACCCCTGATGACGTCATAAAGTTATCAAGCAACCTATCTCTCTCAAACAGCCTTGATGGGAACCCATGCCGTTGCCTCCTTACCATGGGGATTAACTCCCGCTATTGGCCAGGGCTCCCAATTTCATCCTCCCAACTTGAAATATGTGCTGTAGCGTCAGATTCGTTGGCCAGACAATATTGAATATTTCATTATATCTGGCTTTCTTCTAACCTAACTTCATATTAGGCAATTTAATCCATCTGTCAAAACAAAAATTCAATATGGCGTGGCTGACAAGCAAGTGTGTTTTGAATATGTGCTTTTGGGCCGTGTGTGTTTTCATAGATATTTTAATTATTTTGCTTTGAGTTTTGCCTGCAACTTTGTTATTGATTATCTAATAAAATATTTGTTGACTAGGTATGTAAACTCTTAAGTCTGGCAGAAACTAGATATTTTTTTGTGTTTTTTGGCCCATGTGTGGCCGCCACGCCATCTTGAATGTCACCTGGTTTGAATTGCCTAAGTTCGCCTAATTTGTACCTATTGTTATGAATTATTTCGCTAAGATTTTCTTTTTTATACAATAATTTTAATACAAAATGAATAGTGTCCATGACTTACGATTCTTGGTCCATGACTAAATAATGCTATTCACTCAAGGTTCCTAAAGTTAATAGGTTGTCTGGTAATGGGTAACTTGATGACGCATCTGGGGGGTACTTTATGGAGATTTAAGGATTTGCATTGGGTTGAGGCACCCCAGATGACGTCATAAAGTTATCAGGCAACCTACCTTCCTCAAACAACCTTGCTATTGGTATGATTTGCAATGATAAGATTTTTAAAATTTAAAAACATTCCAGATTTTCTCCTTGTCACTTACCTATAAATTAATTTATGCATAAACTGCATTCAAATTTAATTCCTAATTTGAATTTACAAACCAGCTTGTAAAGAAAAAAAATATATCTAGCAAATTATGTCTGTTTCTGCAGAAATCACAAACCAGTCAGAGCGAATTTCATTACTTGAAAACAGTCAGAAAACTAGTTTCAACCAATGAAATTTACTGTGACTGGTTTGTGATTTCTGCAGAAACAGACCTATATTGTTCGTCGATTTTAATCTGATACTCGGACGGAATGTGAATGGTGGCTTTCTACATTAGAACGCCAATGGTTACCTGACGTCACACCTGTTTTTGCCATATGAAACACCCCCTCGCTCCTCATACCGCAAGTGTCAGTTAAAAATCGACGAACAATAGGTACTAAACTTATTCTAGTTTTTCTAATGCTGCATTGAGAAAAATAATAAAATGGTTATTTTCCTATTAGTTATTTTAATTTTCTATTGACTCTGTATCTTACCATATCAATTTACCAATAAATTCTGTAGTTAGGTTTTTACTTAGTTTTTTCAATTTTCATATGAGCACAAATAAATATTTAAATGGAAAGAAGTTGGAGAAAGGAAAAACAGTTAAAATTTTAAAAAACCAAAACATTGAACTGTCAAAGTCAAAATTGTCAGTTCGACTTTAGTCCGAACACAACTTGGGGTTTTTTGGTGAGAAACCAATTAGAGTACTCGGAGTACTCTGAAAAAGTGGTTACTGTTTGGGCAGGAGAAATCTGGGAGGGTAGGTATTTATTAGAGCTACTACTTTCGATAAACTTTTATTTGAAGGAAATCAACAGATGGTACATTTTGATATCTATTCCCGTTTTAATAATCAATCGATCTGGTCATCATCATCATCTACCGACATATTCGACCAGCTTCGAACCATATGCAGCAAGTAAATGCAAACGGAAGATTCCAGTTTGCCTTCATCCCTGAGTTGCATTATTGCCGATAAGAGATTCGTTTGCGTGTTTTTCAACTTTTCGGCCAAACTTCTTTCAGTTTCCAACATTTTTTCAGTTTCGTGCAGTTTCAGCGTCAATTCTGACCTGGAACAGGTAGCTTTTGAAACCTATACTTATTAAAACTAAGAAATATATTTTACCTTCCTAACTGCAACAGCATCTCTTGCTTTTGTAGTTCTGCAATTTCCATTTTCAAATGGTGGACTGTCACATGGTTTTCTTCGAGCTCTTTTCTCAGTTCTTCAGCTACAGTCTGAAGAAAAAATTGAACAATTCGATCATGATGAAATAATATCCCACCTAATACCAGTAGTTTATAAAAACTATGGTGGTAGATTATTAAAAAAAATATATGGACAATTGGAAAACTTCACAAGGCACTGATGAGTTGGGGATGGTACTTGTGCCAAAATTTCAAGCTCTGAAAATTAAATCAAGCTTTACTTTTACCTGGAAAGCCTGCTCTTTCATGTCTTGAGTAGCTGAATTTTCTTTCCCTTGAAGATTTCCTGGTTCTCTTTGCTTCATCTAACAAAATATATGTACGAACACAAAATTAAAAAAACAGTAAACCCAGGAATGTGCAATCTAGAAGCTTTGTTCTCGACTTTTGACAACTTTCAGTAAACATATATTACCTACCTGAGCTTCCAACGATAAACATTTTTCCAAGGCTTCTTTATATTGCGCCCGTAACATCCCATTTTCCTCATAAACCCTTTCAAGTTGTTCAGATAGCTCTTTAACTGCTATAGAAAATTGTTTCTTGTCGTTTTTAATATCCTCAATATCCACTTGTTCTTCCTTAAGTTTCTCAATAACATCCTGATTCATATGTTTAGAACCCACCAAATCGTTAATGCTTCTCATAAATTTCCCAGATACATCCTTATGAACCTGCGACAAAATATCATAAGCACTTTTTTCATTAGCTAATCTCGTTGTGGCTTCTTGAAGTTGCAAACGTAATTTGGTTATTTCTTTTTGGTTTTGCTCTTCGAGCTCTTGGCGAGTCCTCGAATGATCGGCAATGTGATTTTTGTAAAAAGAATAATCGTCTTCCTTTTGTTTTACGATTGATTTTAATTCTGAATCAAATAGCTCGGCTTCTTTTTCTAAGCGGTCAACGTGTAAAGTTAATTTTTTGTATTCATCGTGGATATCGAAAAGTTGGTTTTCGAGGTTTGCTTTGGCATCTTGTACCTCTTTGTGCTCTCTGGAATAATAATACATTGGACAATATACAAATGTTAAATAATTTTGTCTTACATTTCAAGCTGATCCATTTCTTCTTTAAGTCTTTTATATCGGTTGTCTTTTACTTCTTCTAATTTTCTCACATCTTCTAACTGTTCAATTCGTTGTTCTTTCAATTTTATTTTCTATAAAATTCAATTTTATTATTTTACTTGAATCAGTGGGGGAAAACCCATGCATTACTTGTTCCATATCTTTAATTTCCTGGCTATAGTTACGGATCAATTCTTTAGCTTCATCTAACTCATCTTTGAGCATTATTTCCTTTTCCTTTGAACTTTTTAAATTTGTTTCAAAATCACTCACTACTTTTCCCATCAAAGTATTGAGACACTCTGCCTCTTTTAATAGACAATTTTTCTCAGTTATTAATTGATATTTTTCTTCTGTGTGTTGTTCTTTTCCTTTCATCAATTCTTTGGCCATTTGAGTTTGTTCATTTAGTGAGTTTTTGGATTCCTCGATTTCTTGCTTTAATTGTTTTACTGCATCAAGAGTTAACTGGAAAAAATATATTTCATGTCTTGCTTCAACCGCTTATACAGGGTGTCCCACAACGTTTTTCCCAGGTAATAACTTCCTAACGCGTCATTCAATATGAATGAAATTTTGAGGCTCTTGGTAACTTTTTGTGCCGCTTCTACCATTGGTATCCAATTTTACCACTTTTCCCCATTGGCAGATACAGTGGGGCAGGGGGGTGGGGGGCAAATATAGACAAACTATATATTTTTGGAACCGGGGCATTGTGTTCTTCAAGAATATAGAATGAAATATAGGGCATCCCATTTGAAAAAAGCTGGAAGCATGCAAAAGCTCACATTTCTGATATTCAAATTTTGTTTCTGACCATGGTTTCTAAAAATTCAGCCAAAACTGTACAACTTTTGTAGTTACAACTTTCTTCTACCTGTGAAGGTAAAGGCTGTAGGTGGGGTGTCAATATTTAAAAAAACACCCTGTGCAAATAAGGGGACTATCACGGAACTTATGGGTGGACCTCTGCGGGACGAGCGCAGCGAGTTCCGCAGCCATCTACTCACCAATATACTGTTGAACTGTTCAAATAAGACACTCACCTGAAACGTGTAGTTTTTGAACTAATGAGAGTAAGGCACATTTGAGTGAGTCAGTTTAGTATCGTAATTAAACAACATAATAATAAATAGATGACTGCGGAACTCGCTGCGCTCGTCCCGCAGAGGTCCACCCATAAGTTCTACAACAATCCACTCGTTTGTACTTGAATAACTTATCACAATATATTACTAGTTTGGTAAAGTAACATTACTAATTCCTGTTGAAATACAGATTGACAAAAAGTGGATAATCTTACAAATTCTGACTTTATATAATAAGTTCTTGTTCAAGTACAAATAAGTGGATTGTTGCGGAACTTATGAGTGGACCTCTGCGGGACAAGCAAATAAGATACTCACCTGAAACGTGTACTTTTTACACTAATGAGAATCACTCACATTTGAGTGAGTCAGGTTAGTATCGTACTTGAACAACATATTGGTGAATAGATGGCTGGGTCCATCCATAAGTTCCGCAATAATCCACTCGTTTGTTTGTACTGCTTGAATAACTTGTCACAATTTATTTCTAGTTTGGTAAAAGTAACATTACTAATTCCTGTTGAAAGGCGAATTGACAAAACTTGGATAATCTTACAAATTCTGAATTTATATATGTAATAAGTTATTTTTCAAGTACAAATGTGTATTGTTGCGGAACTTTTGGGTGGACCTCTGCGGGACGAGCGCAGCGAGTTCCGCAGCCATCTAATCACCATAAATATACTATTGAACTGTTCAAGTAAGACATTCACCTGAAACGTGTAATTTTTAAACTAATATGAATAACGCACATTTGAGTGAGTCAGTTCAGAATCGTAATTAAACAATATATTGATAAATAGCGGAACTCGCTGTGCTCGTCCCGCAGAGGTCCACCCATAGGTTCCGCAAAAATTCACTCATTTGTACTTGGATAACTTGTCACATTATGTTACTAGTTTGGTAAAGTAACATTACTAATTCCTGTTGGAAGGCAAATTGACAAAAAGTGAATAATCATAAAGGCCGAAACCCACTAGCAACACGCCACGCCACGCCACCCCACGCCATGTGACTCAGGTTCACGTGGGACAGTTTGTGTGTAAATGGACAGCTAGCGTGGCGTGCCATGGCGTGGTATCGCGTATGGCAAGTGTGTACGCAGCACATATAAATAAATGGAAGAATATACGCATACATTTTCGTCACATGGCGTGGCGTGGCGAAACATGACATGGCGCGTTGCTAGTGGGTTTCGGCCTTAATTCAGCCAAAACTGTACAACTTTTGTATTCACACGTTTCTTTTACCTGTAAAGGTAAAGGCTATAGGTGGGGTGTCAATATATAAAAAACACCCTGTACCTACCCATTTAAAATCACCTTATTCTCCTAAATAGTTCCCCCATTCCTATATTTTTATGGGCCATTCCTTCGAAAAACCGTATCTTGCACAATGCGCTGCCAAAACTAACCCAAACTAACCCATTCTGGCTTACTTTTACTTAAACTGCCCCCCTCCTTTTAAAAGGCCTGTATCCGCCCCTACTTTCCCTTCGATTTCTGTCAAGTGACGTAAACTTTCGAATCTTAAGTGTAACTCATGGTATATTATGGCATTTTACTTTAAAATTAGATTACAAAATCGGCAATGCCATATTTGTTGAGACTTTGTTGAAGAAAATGATCAAAAATTATACAGTGAAACATACGATGATGCGTTCTCATCATTTGGTAAAAACCTCGTGGGACACCCAAGAATTAAGGCATACAACTCAACCAAATCTTGACATAAAACAAATAAAACATTAACCATGTATATATACCTTTTCTGATTGTCTGGATTCATCTAAAGCTTTCAGCATTCTTTCCGTGTTATTTTTGAGATAGGAATTGCTGCTTTCAAGAGTTCTCTTCTCATCTCGCAACTGAAATAATGACCCTATTCTATATAATGAATATACTTAAATATCTACCATTTTACTCTGTCAATTAATAATTTCAATTGCCTCATATTAGTATCATTTTTCGATGTTTCAATCTTTAATTTTTCATTTGATTCTTTATTACTTTTTTCATATCCATCAATTTCCCTTCTTAGATCTTTGGTTTCGTCATTTTTATTTGCTATTTCTTTTGTAATTTTACTGTACTTTTCTTCTTGTTCTGTCACTTTTGTTTTCAGCTTTTCAATCTTGAAAAATAACTTTTTAGCAAATATATCCAAAATTATTATAATATTACCTCTGCTTGAAGATTTAACTTTTCTTTTACAACCTCCTCCTTCTCCTGTTTAACCAGTTTCATGTTTGTTAACAGCATCTTCATAGTTGCCCTTTCATTTTTCAGTTTTTCTTCAATTTGCTGAACATGTGAATTAATCGACTTTACCATGACTTCCTTCGAATGCCCAAGCTCGGCAAATTTTTTCTTTTCAGTACTCAACACTTGGCCGAGTCTTTCTTTGAGATGCGAAACTTCGTTAATTTCCTGACACAAAGTGACTCTTTCTTTGGCATTTTCTACTTGGATTTCATTTAGTTTTTCCATGTTAGTTTTCAAATGAGCTATCGTTGTGTTTTTATCTAGGATTTCTTGTTTCAATTTTTCACTTTGTTGTTTAGTGCATTCTACTACAAACTAAAAAGTGATTTAGTTACTACTTATTTGTTTTTCAATAGTTGGAAGGTTTACTCCAAGTTTACTAGCTTCCCTGCTAACATTGGATAAACTATCTTCAAGCTGTTTAATTTTCGATAGCTCGCACTTTAAATGTTGTATTGTTGACTTTAAAAGGCTTTTTTCTTCCAAATACTTCATTCGTTCATTTTGAAGAGCTAGAAAATGGGTTTACCTCACATTTTTATTTCATATGTATACACAATAATATTACTTATCACAGTTTCATTTTGACTATCAATTTTAACCCGTAGTTCTTGATTATTTGTAGTTACTTTTTCCAATTCCTTCACTTGCCTTTGTAAAGTTTTGTACGCGATTTGCTGATCATGAATTACGACAAGATTCTCGTGCTTCGTGGCTTCCGTTTGGTTTTTGAGCTCAGAGTAATCTTTTTTTAGCTGAAAATTCTTGATTATTTTCAAAATCTGGAAATATTATTCCTTACCTACTCTTTCTAGCTCTTCATGTTTATGTGCAATATCTTTAGAGGCATCTCCCGCTCCGCTTTCTTTAATAATCCTGTTTAACATCACTACTTCTTTTTGCAAAGTATAATTTTCTGTAGTTATGTTTGTAACAAATAATTTGGTTCGTTCCAGCCTTCTTTCTTTTTCTTTTAACTAAAAACATAAAATTTTTGTTGGTTTTCATTATTTAGGTACATTTTTCCTATTGCCTCTTGAACATATTTTCCATGATCGCTAATGGTTTCTCTTAGCTTTAAATTTTCGGCTTCGACTTTCCCAAGACTTTCCTTTGTAGTTCTAAGTTCGATTTCCAACACTTGATATTTTTGTTCCAATAAAAACTTTTCGTTTATTGTATTGGAGTTATCTTTAATTTTTTGAGACAACGAGTTTGACTCTTCTATAAGATTTTTGTTCATTTCCTGAAGAGACATACTAAAACAAACTCCCAATAAACCAAAAATCGAAATAGTTATTTAATACACTAGTCACATGTCTTTTTCCTTAGTAACATTTTCAGCATGAGCATTTATTAATTCCTTAGATAATTCGGTAATGCTGGCTCTACATATTTGAAATATATCAGCAATGCTACTGCCTTGCATTTTAAATTTGCTCCAACTGGATCCAAAAGGCAAAACGCCCAAACTTTTTTTTAAATCCTCTAACTCATCCATTACAACATCTCTAATTTCCAAAAGTTCTTCCAAAACCCTATCCTTAGAGGCCAGCTTAGCATTCAAGGAAACTTCCTCAATTTCATATTCGGTTTTCAGTTTATGAACTAGAGTTTTTGTATTTTGAATTTTAGTATTAGAATTCCGCAGTTCTTGTTCCAAACAATCATTTTGCTTTTGAAAAATGGACAATTCACTTTCGAGACTTTCAAGCTTTTTGAAAAACGAATCCAACTTTATCTGAAGTTTTTCATTGCGCCTGAATAGCGAGTCAGTTTCTAAATCTTCAGGGCCACCACGCATCTGTTTGCAAGCTTTTTCATATTTTCTAAACAAGCTTTCGTTTTCAATTTGCAATTGTCGATTTTGTTTTACCAAAGTTTGCATTGTATCCTGAAAGACTTTTTCTTGAGCTCTTCCGATTTCAAGCTGTTGCGTCCAGATATCGTGGGCTAGAGAACAGGATCTTTTTTCGGCTTCCCATTGAAATTTTGTGTGATGCGAAATAGCATTTTCTACAAAAGTATTTATTTGTTTTACTAGATTTGCTACTATAATCCACTACCTACTCATTTCTGCTTGAATGGTTGGATCGGTTATATATTTTGCTAGTAAATTTATTACATGGTTTTCGCTTTCATGAAAATTAGTGATAACTATTTGCAGATACTGCAAGGCATCGGCATTAGTTACGTCCAATAAGGGCTTTCCAAAACTTCTAAAAAAAATATTTGGGTATTTAATTTAACTAATTTTTTTAAGTGGATGTTTATACATGAAGGAGGACAGAACCTCTTGAGAAATGACCATTTTGGATTCACAGTTTGATGCTTTATGGAGTGCTGAAGTTTTCTTTAAAGATATGCCTGAATGCTGAAAATTATCTTAATGAATGTAAATTTTTTAGCTCAAAAATTGCTTTACATTGGAGGTATTTGTCTCGCTATCAACCCCCTTACTTTCCCACAAAATGTCTCGAGCCTGATGCAAACTTTTCTTGTTGTTCTCGTAATTTTGGCAGCTCAGTTCCACTTCCTCTTCGATATGTGCCGCTAAAGACATTGTGCTCGATTCGCTCAAATTCTGAGAAGACAGGTGTACATTTCTGACTGAATCTCCAGGGTTTTTGTTTGAGGTTTTTTTCCTGCGAGCTTTTCTTACGAGATTGGAGAATATGTTTGAGGATTTGCGAATTTTCACGCTGGATGTACTGGAAGGGTTTTGAAGTGAAGCCAAGGTCTCTTCGGTAATGGCAAGCTAAAAAATGATATTATGTGTTTTGGGAATTTTAGTTATTGCAGTACATTTTACTCTTTTATTTGTATCTTTACTCATTTTGGATAAAAATTGTGTTAAAATGTCTGAGAATTGTTGATGAGAATACAAAAATTATGCAAAAAGGTGACACTGAAAGACGTTACATGCCACGAGCTGGTATTTCTTATCATTACATAACATAATACCTACTTGACGAAAAATCAGATATGTATATTATTATTTTGATACACATGATTATTTGAAATTTTTCAATTTTTATACCCTCCAAACTGTATCTAGCTTTGTAGCTGGCGAAACTATTGATCTTCAATATTGCCAGATCGATCCTTATTGGACCTTCTATATCATGAAGTGTTCTATTTTCATTTGAAAAGAATCTGCAGATCCTGAAGTCTTCGAATTCTATAAATTTTAAGGATTCTTGGTGCTTCTATGAAAAGACTGCAAATCTTTAAAATTTTGAGTCATTTCTTCGCAAATTTTCTGATAATTCTTCTTTGAAGAAACTCTCAAAATCTTAATTTATTCATACAAACCCCCTGGTTCTTCCAAGAGACAAGACTATTACGATCTTGGATCTTGCCAGATTCTTTATATGGACCTTCTCATGGAAGTGTTTTTCCTTTAAAAATTAAGAATCTGCAGATGTTCCGAAGTCTTTGGATTTTTTAGATTTTAAAAATTTCTTTGTGCTAGGTACTATGAAAAAACTCTGGAAATCTTAAAAGTTCTAAGTAATTTCTTCGCAAATTTCCTGATTCTTCTCTGGAGAAACTCTCAAAATCTTAATTCATTGATCCTACAAACACCCAAACAGCTCAAAGACATCTTCAAGATGCCCACAAAGGAAATTCAAAATGTCATATTATACGTCTGCTCTTTATGTGTTCGAGGCGTTTTAAGTTTTAAAGGCATTCCAAAGACGTCCTTTGTTACAAAACCCAACGTCTTTCAGATTCAGACGTCCGCCTATAAAGACATCTTCAAGACATTTTCCTAAGACATTCAAAGACATGTCTTGAAGACGTCCTTGACAAGATGTTTTAAAGACATGTGGCCACAGAATTAATTTTAATACATAAACCAATATATGGACGTCTTCAAAATAATGATTTTTAAACGTCTTTTTTTTGTCTTGACGTTCAGACGTAATGCAGACCTAAAAAAGACGTCTTCAAGACTTTGTGTGCTGCCTGGGATTACGTTAAAAATGAAACTAAATTAAAGGAGTTTTGAGCAAAACAGTGCGTCGTAGTCAATTTTGGAAAACATCAAATTTGCAAATAATTCGCGGTAAAAAATTAAGGTCTATTCGCATGCGCAATTATTTCGTTTCCGGATCACACCATTTCTAACTTATTAAGTTCTTTGTTCGCAAATCGATTCTGAACTAGCTACCTGTTCAGAGGTAGGTACTTAACAACCATTATTGGTTCAAGACGTGGTGCAGTTATTCACAGTTCCTTAGAGCAGGTAAAGGTAAAGAGGAGTAGGTATTTTAGCACCAAGAAAATGGCGGTATAGGCAATTCCTTAGAGCAGGTAAAGGACATAAGGAGTAGGAACGCGCCATTCTGCTTATGAAACTAAAGTGAAGCCAAGTTTTTGCCAGGTGTTTGGCACCAAGATACAGGTAAAGCCAATGAACTGGTAAAGCATTAAATTGCCTATACCGCCATTTTCTTGGTGCCAAAATACATGGAAAAAAACGGCTTCATTTTCCAAATCCGGGTTACTATAATTACCTGTATTTTGGTGCCAAACACCTGCCAAAAACTTGACTTCACTGTTTTATAAGCAGAATGGCGCGTTCCTACTCCTTATGTCCGTAGGACAGCGCTTCACCTGGTCTTAGCACAGTTCAAACAGTCATTATTGGTTCAAGACATGGTGCAGTTATTCACGGTTCAAAGTGTTCCAAACCTAATTATTTGGAGTACTCATTTCCTGTTCCGAAATCGTTCGCGGTAAAATCCTAAACTGCTTTGGAGTGTGATCAAGGAACAAACGCTTTAGGGCGTGATCCAAAAATGAACGTTTTAGTGCAAAAAAATAATATTTAAACCGCATCTTGCTACCTTGAACCGTTTTCGAGTTAGGGCGGTTTAAAGTGACGAAAACCTAGGCTGTGACGTCTCACCGGCTTCGGAGGCACAGTTAAAATACGTGTAAAATTATCCAAAACAAAAGTCAACGATCTCACTTAGAGCGAATTGCAACCTCTCAATATATATAGGGCACGGCTCACTGACGACTGAACCAACAGAAGGCTGCGATTCCGGCGGTTAGCCGGTGTGACGTCACAAGTTCCCGCATAATTTATCTTTATGAGGGTTTATCTCGGAAACAATTTAGTTTTGAATGTAGGACTGCGGTTTTCACGAGAGATCTTAGATTTTTTTTCTTGATTTAAGTAAAATCTATTTTTTTTTTTTAAGATAAAGTCAAAATGACATTAAGTTAGCAATACAATGTAAAATTGTCAAGCTTTCAAATTTTTTATGTAGAAAAGGCTTGTGTTGCCAACATAGTTACTAAATATTTGACTTGGGGAATTATCTTAAAAAAAAAAACAGACTTCAGCATGAGTTGTTTTTCTGGGGCACACCCCCTCTAAACAAACCTGAATCAATTCTGAACTAGTTCTACCTGTTCTAGAGTCAATATGTACCATGAGCCGCTTTCGGATGCAGAGTGCGAAGCTCCGAGAACACTTCAAGTTCCAACCTGTCATACTCCATAGCTGCTTTCCAAGTATGCACATTGGCGCGCTCTGGCGCGCTCCAGAGCACCTCGGGGGCGCCACGCAATACATTTGTACCGTTCCAGTATCATGGCGTGAGACGCCTGTGTTAGTGTCAAATGTCAAATATGTCAAATTTTAAAAATAATTATCTGTTTGTTTGTGCAGTTTGTTTTTTTATTTATCATAAATGAAAGAGAATCAAAACTATATATTTTAAAATGTTCAATCTTGAGATATAACAAGAAATAAATAGATAAATAACCACCCACAGATATGACAGCTAAATAGAAAATGGTTTGAAATCTGAACAAAAAATTCCTCCTGCTGGCTCGCCTTTATGCTTGATTTCTGAGTTTTGTAGCTGCAAAACTAATGAAGCTGCATTAAAATAAAAATAGTAACATGGAGATGTGAAGGCAAAATTAACGGAAATGTGAGGCAAATGTCTTTGAAAAGACACCCGATTGATCTAGAAGCGATCTGAAACGGATTCACATATTCGGTTTCAAACGGAGCGTTGCTCTCGGCGAGATTCACGTGTTCGATTTGAGCAATAGAATGCCCTAAAATCACGCACAGGGCACTTTTTGCTCTGTCAAATGCGGATCAAATAACATTTTCGGCTTACTGGTCCCAGAGCGCTTTTCGTCTGACCGGGACGGCACAGATCCCTGCGGGAGTGCTCCGAGAGCGACTATAATCCAAACAGAGCACACCATTTGAAATCAATAGCCGAACATACTTTTATTGTTTTGATCAAACTCGATCCATCGAATTCGACGGAGCAAAGAAGAGCGCTCCGTGCAATATTTGAGAGCGTTCTATTGTTCAATTTGAACACCTGAATTTTGCCGATAGTACGCTCCGTTTTAACCCAAACATCTGAGAATCTCTTTCGGATCGCTTTTTGATCAATCGGGAGTAGTTTTGAGGCAAAAGTCGAAAGCGCTTTTTTCGCGATTCAACATTCAACTCAAAACGATTCTGAACTAAACTGCATGGACAACTTTCGAACAAGGAAAGTTTTTCGCCTACTTTTGAGGCCCATCCTCAATCAATTTGGTAGCGAAGTGGCACTTCGGCACGCAAGCTAGGAAAATGTTGTTTAACGTTGGCATCCTCAATTCAATTCCGTGCTGGCATGCACGCCAACTCCGAAGTGGAAGCTTGCAAGCTTTTTCGATGCGTGCCGACTAAAGCCTAGTACTCATAACTGCGAAATTCGCATTTTTTTGACATTGCTTCGACAATTTGAAGTTTGATACATGCATAAAACGTCAAATTGTCAACGCAATGTCAAAAAAATGCGAATTTCGCAGTTATGAGTACTAACCTTAAGGGAGGATTTTCATGCATCCGTTTTTCCGTCGAAATATGTCCGTTTAACATTCTATTCTGACATAATCGTATGTAAATGTGTCAAAATAGAATGTTAAACGGACATATTTCGACGGAAAAACGGATGCATGAAAATGCCCTTATGTCATGCGCAGTACGGTGGAAAATAATTTAGGTTATCCTTGCGTTCGGTATTTTGCTCAATGAGCAGAGCGTGCAGAGTGGAGCCGTAATCACATGACCAGCGAGCGCACAGAGCAATTAAATGCTGTATCAGAGGTTGTCTATGATCAGAGGGCTCGAAATTTTATTAAACGAACGTGAATGAGCCTGCACCGAGTACACGTTTTAAATAAACGAACGGTAAATTTATGCTCGGAGAACTCAGATCAAAATACCGAACGCACGGTGTGTGACTGTACTACACGCACAGCAGACTGAAAATTGACAGCATTGAGGATAGTTGTATTCCTTTCAAGTGTTTGAAACACTCGAGCTACTCGCTCCGGTGCTCAGTCGCCCCCGATTTGCAGGGAACAAATGCGTGGTGCAACAAACATTTTTCGAAAGGAATAGGGGCGTGAAGCCCCGGAGCTGTTCCGGAGCTCCTCCTAGGTGTGAAAAGAATACAACTATTGGGTATCTATCAATTTACCAGCACGCGTGCCAAAGTGCCACTTCGCTAGCAGATTGATTGAGGATGTAGCTTAAGGCTCAATATTTTTGGAACCAGACCAAATATCGACCTCGCTGTCGATTTTCCATTAATAATTATTAGTTTACCGAAAGCTAAACTAAATAACCGTCCACTAATAAACCGGTCCTTAGAGAATAAGACATTTTCCATTCACTAAATAAAGGCTGAGTTCAGCTTTGCACTCCACGGAGCGGAACGGTATGAGCATGGATGATATCGTGACGTCATACGCGGTCATAAGCCGAATGCAAAAGAGAACACTCCGAGAGCTAAAACGAAGAGGATCTTATCGTTTCGAGCACGCTCAGAGTTTACAGAGTGTAAAGCCGAACTCAGCCTGATATAGTGAGATCCCGAGATAGTTAACTCATCGGTAAAGTCACCGATTAGAATAAAAACGAGGGGCTCTCAAGAGTCCCAAGATTTTTCTGCTAAATTTCATATCTGGCAACAGTGTCAACAGTGTAGACCGTAGAAATGTGAGGTTATGTGTTTATTTTTTTTTGTTTTCCGAGTTTTTTCAATGTTTTCATTATTTCTATTTGTAAATTTCAATTAAAAGCCTGATGGAAGATAATAGGAAAGAACTCAAACATCACAAACAGGAACAATATTGTACTACGAGGCCAGCCTATCGCCAAGGAAGGAAATTAACTGCTGTTAAGGTGAGTTACCTACTGAAAAACTATAGAGAAAACTATTAAACTTCAGCATTCCTTTTTGTCTAATCCAGGTTTACACTGTTAATAACGAATCTCAGCACATCTACATCTACGGGGTACCCCAGATCAAACTACGCAAAGAACTGAAACAGCTCTGCGTCAAATACGGTCAGGTACTCACTGTCGCACCAGTTCTGGATGTGAAAACCGAATTATTCACAGAGTGTTTTCACATTCAATACCAGAGAATTCAGTCTGCTAGAATTGCCAAAAGACTATTGGATACCAAGTAATGTATCTGAGAAGTATTCATATTCAATTTTCAATAAATATTTGTTTTAGATCGTTCTATGGTGGTATTTTGCACGCTTGCTACGCTCCTGAATGTGAGAGTGTAGAGGAAACTAGAACAAAGTTGGCGCAGAGAAGACGAGATGTTTTGAATCGATTAAAGTTGAAATAATTATTGTTCTAATATCTGCAGATTTTTGATGTTCAATTTATTCTATTTTAGACCACACCAATAGATCCTTTTTTTTTGTTCTAAATCTACACTGTTTACTCTAGTGTAACTTCTGAGTCACACTGGTAGCTTTGGCCATTAAAGAAGAATGCAATTTTAGAACCTAACCTAAAAACATTACATAATTTCTAATCAATCAAAATCATTTATTTACTAACAACAAATCTAATCTCTTTGAATAATGATGTGGCATTTTCTTAATTAAAATATAAAAGTCCAAACACTATCAATAGCTTAACTTGTTGAAAAGTTGCTCCAGGATGTCGCAGCCCTTTAATTTATTTCGCCAAGTGGCTTTACTGGTCTTTACACCACAGTGTTTCGATAATTATTTCATTGACTTCAATTTTACTGATGGTAAGTTGAAATTTTATACATTTTGGTATCTTGTTCATTTATTTCGAAATGGTTCTGTGCTAAAGTATCCCAAGTTCATTACCAACTTCAAATGCTCATTGATAATCAATTTTTGTAACAAATTGTATGTTACCTCATCCAAAAACCTCAAATTTAAATCTTTTTGTTTCAGGTCCCTGTTTCAAAGCTACCCTAAGCAAAGGCCTAGGCCTAGCCTTGATCCTAGGCTCAATCCTAGTGAAAGTGCCTCAAATACTCAAAATATTGAAAAGCAAAAGCGGTGAAGGCATCAATTTATTCAGCGTTACTTTAGATTTGACTGCCATCTCTATTTACATGTCTTACAGCTTAGTCAATGGATTTCCCTTCAGTTCTTGGGGAGACACATTTTTCTTGGGCATACAAACTGTTGCTATAGGTGTTCTAGTGTTATTTTACAATGGAAAGAAAGTTCAGGCGGCTTTGTATTTAGTTGTATACTTGCTGGCGTGTTTTGCACTTTGTACTGCAACCCCTAAGCAAGTTTTATGGACACTAACATCCATTAACATATTTATAGTAGTCAGTGGCAAGCTGCTGCAAGCATGGACAAATTTCCAGAATGGGCACACTGGTCAATTGGCGGCAGTCACTCTGATAATGCTTTTGGGCGGTTCTGCTGCTCGAATTTTCACTTCGATTCAGGAAACTGGTGATTCGGTTGCTATTTTGACCTACGTGGCCAGTACGGCTGTGAATGCTGTGCTTGTAGTGCAGCTAGTCTATTACTGGAAAGCAACTGAGGCTCTGAAAAATAAGAAGAAACATTAAATTAATTTATTTAGATTAAATAGTTGTTTATTCAAATTAGGTTTTGCGTTTTTTAAAAGGGTAATACATTTTTGTACTGAATTTTCTGTATTTTTATTTCTGTTTTCCTACAATCGTTCTATCTCTGTCTAAAGAATAGTTCACAGATGATGTACTTCTGTTGTGTCAAAATGTCAACGTCAAAATCGTGTCAGTTCACAGTTGAAAAAAATTGTTCGACTCAGCTCAAGAGTCAAGAGGAGCTCCTGGCTGAACAAATAAACGCGTTTTTCATAAATATTAAAGGTATTTAAAACCCAGTTTTAAATATCTTTTGAAATTTTGCTGAAAAAATTTAATGCGACACGTATATAGTGTAATAGCAGTGCAAACATTACCCTTAAAAGGAGATACCTACTCACCAAACATGTCAAGGAAACTCTCACCATAAACATAAAATCCTTTTTAGTTCTTTTTCTATTATTGTGGACAATTTATCTCTACTGATTTGTTTTGTCAAGTGCAGTGCCATCGTAGTGCAAATTTAACATATAACAATGCAAGTGCTTGTTCTAAAATGATCCTGGCTAGTGGAGGTTTTTTGGACAAAATATTTGAGTGTAAGGATGGCTTCTTTGAGCAGGAGATCATGGAAACTTCGTAAGTGGCACTGTAGCTTTATTTTTTAGCTTTTAAGAACAAAAATTATATAATAAAGGACTATACGGACTCCGGTATAAATAGCTTTTTCAATGGTTTCAAATTAGATCAGCATCTGAGGTTTTTTTGATTCTTCAAATTTTAGCCTTGAGAACCTCTAAAGTTCAGTTTCAAATTTATATTACATCGAGTATTACATTAATTTCTAAGCAATCTTTCATGATTTTTATAAATACAATTTTAGCTTAAGAGCTTCAAAAAAGTTGACAAAGGAACACATGTTTAGTAAATGAATTCAAAACAAAGAGTGCTGAAAACTAAAACTGACTCTATTGATACCTACAACCAATAAAAGTTCTTCAAACCCTTACTTTTAGTGCCAATAATCATCTTATAACCAAAATTTAAGCAACTGCTTCTCAAATTTTTGTAGCCTTATTTTTACCATAAGTTCTACATACATTTGTTGAATCTTCTTTGCTCTGGACACTCATTTTAAAAATGTTCCTTACAGTATTATCAGCTTTATGATTTTTTTTTCTTCCTCAGAAGATTTCCAAGCCCACAATGCAAACGTGAATTGCCTAGCCCTGGGACACAAATCGGGCAGGGTGATGGTAACAGGAGGCGACGACAAAAAAGTCAACTTATGGGCTGTAGGCAAGAAAAGTTGCTTTATGTCTTTGAGCGGTCACATCACCCCCATCGAATGTGTCCAATTCAATCAACTTGAAGAACTGGTCTGTGCAGGTTCCAGAGCGGGAGACCTCAAAGTCTGGGACCTCGAAGCTGCAAAATTAGTGCGGACGCTCAACGGCCATAAGAACACTATAAAATCTATAGATTTTCATCCGTACGGTGACCTGTTGGCTTCAGGAAGTGGAGATAGTACTATAAAATTGTGGGACACTCGCAAGAAAGGGGTGCTTTATACTTTTAATGGACATGCGGGGCAGGTGAACAGCATAAAATTCAGCCCTGATGGACACTGGCTGGCCTCAGGTGGTGAGGACTCTACAATCAAAATCTGGGACCTAAGAATTGGTAAAGTCTTAAAAGAATTTCATGAACATTTAAATCCTGTAACTTGTGTGGAATTTCATCCGCACGAGTTTCTATTGGCCACTGGAGGAGTGGACAGAACTGTAAACTTTTTCGATCTTGAAAACTTTAGTTTGGTGTCAAGTGAGAGTGACTTGGGAGTTATAAGGGCCTTGTGTTTTAATCCAGAAGGCGACTGTGTGTTTACTGGGGTCAGGGACTATTTGAAGATTGTTGGATGGGAGCCTAGTAGGCTTCATGACTCTATACCGGTGTCTTGGGGGAATGTTTGTGATATTTCTACTGCTCAAAATCAGTTGGTAGGTATCTTTAATTCTAATTTTAATTTTAAAAGTTATGCAGTTTGTACCAAGAGGAAAACCGCCCCTCCAAATTTGTGCAAACAATTCCTCAAAGGGGAATTTTCTTGGGAAAATTCCTCAAACTTGCCACAAATTTCTCCAAGCTCTCCACAAATTCTTCAAAATAACCCAAAAACTTCGCCAAATTCTCTAAAATCTTCAAAGATTGTGATAAGAAATGTATTTTTCTATTTTTATTGCGCTCGGTGTTAAAACCAATAAATTCCCTTGATTTCTTCAATTTCCCATAAATTCCTTCAAATTCCTCTTAATTCCCCACAGTTTTGACAAAGAACTCCTAGGTGGTTTGATCAGAAGGAAATTTTTATTTTTTCCTAAGTTTTAATCTTTTCTCTTTCCACTAATAGTAGTCCGTTGCTAATAGTAAAATTTCAATCCATTCAATACATGAAACATTTTCTACAAAAAAAAAAAAAAAATAGAACATCCCTCAATGTAATTTTTGGAAACTTGATTTCTTCTAAAATGACACTGACACATGTTTTGCCTCACATCTTTGTTAATTTCAATCCGATCTTAATGGTATTAGGCTTAAAATAAGGCCAATTAAATCCTTCACAAATCCTTACTGAGTATTTTCAATGCAGCTTCAATAGTTTCGCAGTTGCAAAGCTTTTAAACCCGAGTTTAAACCTTTCGATTCGACTTTGATTTTTTTCAAGGTGAGTGTGTAAAAGCAAATTTTTATTGAACAAGGTCAACCACCCCCCCCATATTTGTTCGAACAGGTCAACCACCCCCCCATATTTGTTCGAACATTTCTTCAAACTTCCCGCAAATTCCTCCAAAAGTCCCAAAAAATTCCTTCAAATTCTCTGCAATTTCCTTCAAACTTTGGATGCCTTTCAACTTTGGATGCCTTTGGAGAGCAAGCAAAGGATAACATCTTGGCACTCACATTTTTCTACGATTGTGTGGGTTGAAAGTAACAATTTTAAGACCTCTCCGTCACTTTCTGTTCAAAAATAAATTTTCATCCAGAGTTCTAAAATTTCTTCAAAAATGTTCAAATTTGACGTTTTCGTACACATCATGATTCGCAGATACCAAAAATGCGAAAAAATTATTGGGATGCCATTCAAAATTACGGAGTTAGGACCATTTCCGGTTAAACCGAAAGTTACCAAACATTGACACACATGTCAAAATATGACATTTCTCAAACCTACACTCTATACCAAAAATCTTTGCCATCGAAAAAAAAATCAGCAAATGCCAGCGCGAAACTGATCTCGTAGACACCTGGTATATCAAAATTTGGATATTTATTTATATTTTTAATTATTTAAATTAGTTCATCTGTTTTCTGTTATCTATATTATAAAAATTCAAAATAACTTTATGGTGAATTTATTAAAATGTTACAAACATGTAAAGTTGGTATGGCGATAACAAGTTTTAGTGCTCTTGTTCCTATGTATAGGCAAAGTTTGTATAGGAATGTAAAGAGTAGTAGATAAATAAAAAATTCAAGTTTAAGAATATGGAAGCATTTATGTTATTAAAACTACTTATGTTTGCCTTAAGCCATAGTTCAACAACAAAAAGAAATCTACTACTTAGGGCAGGTATTATAAAACTATTTTGAAAGAATAATTAGAAGTTAACTTCTGGAATGACGTTACTTTTCATAGTTATTCCAAAAGTTAACTTCTAGTTATCTGTCAAAATAGTTTCATAATACCCGCCCTAAAAACCTAATATTTCTTATACCCAAATAAAAAAAAATAAAATCCCTGTGATTTCCTTGTCATAAATAAAATAATTAAACTATAAAATAGGAAAAAAATGCCATACAAATATTATTGATATATATCAGGATATTTATGGCATAAATATCATGATATTTATCAAGATAAATATCAGGATATTTATCGCTGATATATATCCTGCCAACCCTGGTATTTTTTGACCATCTGGAGAAATTTTCTATGCAAAGACAATCAAATAAGTTCATCAGATTTTCTTTATCTTGAAGCGTAAACCTTGATTGCTTTGTGTTTTATTTAGTAAGGCCAAACAATGCATGAGACATGAAAATGTCTAAAAATATCTCTTTGACTATTTTTATCCCCAACCTTCTACTAATGGCTATAATCAATACATAACTCCAGTAGGAGAATTTTTATTTATTTTTTCTATTACTATACAAGAGCTTGCATAGTTTTGTTATGTAATAGTGTTTGGCTTTTTATGATAATGCTATGCTGGTATATTTTAGATAAAATACTTAATTATTATGTAACTGCTTTCACTGTTGAATGTCTCAATTTTTATCAGTACCTATAAAAAAATGTAATACATTTCCATATTAGTTACGTGGGTGTCACCAAATCTCTAATAAAATATATAATTACATATGAGTAATACAAACCAGAAAACTTAATATTAGATTTGTTTCAGTAAGATTTTATAGAATTTTATCATTTAAGTGTGTTAATTTCTCAGGAAACAACGTTAATGTTAAATGAGTATAAAATACAATCTGCTAATATTAGGAAATCCTTGAAAACAAAATTGCCTTAACAAAGTGCTAAATAATTTTCTAAAATGATGATTTCTGTCTAGGTTGGCGCTTCTTTCTACTTAACAAACGTACAAGTCTACGTAGTAGATTTAAAAAAATGCCTCCCAATGGGTTATTCATCTGAAGCCGATCCTGCCTTAACCGCTATACCTCCAAGCCCTTTTTTGCAACATCCCAGCCTCAGGAAGAGTTTTTCAAAAGCTGAACGTCCTGTAAGTTTGAAAGGGCGAATTTTGGATGTCAAGACTATTGAAGAGAGCACTTCCGGGACTGATCCTGAGGAGGAGTCTGTAGCAGATATAACGAATATGAAGGATTATCATGAGATTTTTAGAGGAAAAGGATGTAAGTAGATTGCATCTTGGATAATATTTGTCTGCAACAACATTTAGTTAACCTTGGTAGATATATTAGCTCTCACTTGCAAAAACTGTTTGAATAAATTTATAAAATTCAATAGATTGCTGATAATAAACTAAAAATTCCCCTATTTTCTCTTAGATTTTTCCACTAATAAAGTCCTAATTTCCCTTATTTCTTCACAATTCCTCCCTAATTGCTTCAGAATTTATCAACACACCTATATTTCAAAGCAGAAAAACCAAGCAATTGATTTTCAACTGCAACTTATTGCCCGTCTAATAACTCTCTAATATCAATTTCACTTTATATTCAAAAATAATGAATTACAGTTAACGACAGTAACTGTTTTATAATATAGGAGAAGGTCGAAGCGAGATGCAAAATGATAATATTATAATGTAAAAACGCAGATTACCTATAACTATAATGATTCACGCAAGAGATTTAGAGCAAACGATTAAAACGGTATTCCAAGATTGCCGGGCAACCTTTTTGTGTGATTCATTAATGGAAACGCGTTAATTTTTAATGCGTGATGATAAATTAGTTGGGATTAAAAATGTTCATAAAAATAGTTCATTGGGTGGTTACTTTCCTAGAATTAATAAATTTTGATTTTTTACTAGTTTCTTCTTTATACTGAAGTAACAATTGGGTCATTAAAAACAATCAACAATAGCATATTGCATATTGCATTCAATACAGAGGAGAATAGGTTTAAAAAATGGAGACAATAGCATTAAAGCACATTAATTTTAAAGACTAGCAGACAATGCAATAAAATAGAGGCCACATACGCTGCTGCTGTTGCTGATTATGATTTATGAATGTTCTTGAACGGAAGTTTTCCAATTGTTTATTTGTTGCTAATTAATATTAATAAGGCCGAAAGACGCCAGATGACAAGGTAATAGGCACAGCCAGATGTAATATTGGTTTTGTATTAACTTGTACTTTCAGGAAAAAGCAATTTTTAAATGCATGAAAAAAATACACACCTACTCCTACACAAAAACGATAAAAATAAATCTTTGGAAGACTAGAATATAATTATTTCTGCGGTTTTGCATAATATTTTGTCTCTGATAGAAAATTGTTGAATAAATCCTACGTGATCATTAAGTATTTGTTGCCGTCATCGTTATTTAACTAATTATTTCTAGATTAGACACTTCGTTTATGATATCAGAGTTAATCGTTTTAATAATGATTATCTAAATAAACATAAATTAATCATGTTTGACATGTTGATGCTAGAATAAGTTTATTGTTGTGAAGTAATGGCTAACAGTTTCTGAGAAGAATGTGAAGTAAAATTATGAAATTATTCAATTTTCATCAGCCCACTTAATTCTAAAATATGCAAGCAAAACAAAGGTCGTACCACATAAATGTACTCGTCTTCCTAAACAGGTGATATGAACCTTGACAAATACATAATTACGATATCTCTTTTAATTTCCTTGGCCGCCTGGCATTGCGACTATGGTTTTACATGAAAACGATAAAATTATTATTCTAGGACGAAATTTAGATTTTTGTCAGGAAGTGGAACAGTAAAAAAAAGGGTCAAATATCGATTTTCTATGCCAGAATTCTCATTAACCCGAATTGTTGAGGTTTTTTTTTTGGCCTTTGTTCAAATTTGAGACAAGCATTGGTAGTACGGTTTTAACTGTCACGTAATTATTGTGAACTGTAAAACCGTGTATTTATATGGAATTTCCTCAAAGTATGCAAATAGTATTCTTAAATGGTTCTTAGTATGCTATAGCACACGTGACTAGGCACAGGAAACGTGTGCAACGGATTTTAAAGCATTTTAGTCTGGAAAAAATTAACATTTTTCTCCTGTTATTATAATAACCAATATGCATAAATACGAATTCCTAAGAAAGTCTGATGAGCAAGAAAAATTAATCTGGCTAAAATAATAATCAAATTTATGGTTGAATTGGTTTTTAATTTCAATTTTTAATATTATGTAAATAAAATAAAAAGATCGAAAGCAGCAGCTCTAATAAAATAAATTTGTTTTGCACCATTGGTTTCTTGATAAAATCTAGAAGGAAAAAAACAGCACATAATGAGAAAGCGCAAATATCTATGATTATTAAATTTTCAAACAATTAACTGATTGTAATAAATCTCATTTATTTTCTATTTAATTTGAATTTGTAGGTGTAATTGCATTGATTAGAAATGACCCGAAACTAAGTAAAAGATTAGATAATTATTGTCTGCTAAGCTAAAAAAAAAATGCGATATTGAAATTGGCAACTCAATAATACAGTAAATTATCTAATAATTAAATAACAGTTGGTTTCTTTATCTCCATAGTTGACTTAGAACAAGTTGGAATCCGCTTAATTGGATTTTTGCCTTATTGGCATCGTATTTTCTTTAGATAATTATTATTTCAAGGCTTTCTTTTTCAATTTACAATGTCTCGTTTTGTTCAACAAGTTGTAGTGCCCATATTGGAACTTCATGGTTGTCATTGACACTTTAATGTTCTTATTTCTTTTTCACTTGCCAACTTTTTCAAATATTTATCCAAATAAAGATGAATAATTGTTGTATTTTTTAGTGGTCCGAACTCCTCCACCTGAACCAGAACCGTTTCAAGAACCAGAGCGAGATTTCACCTCAGTGGTACCGATATTGTTCCAGAACAACACCTACCATGATCCCACAGAACCTCAAATACTGGGAGACCATCATTTGAGCGAAAACTTCGAAGCTTTGTCTTTGGACAACAATGTAAACCACTACCACAACTCCGAACCGCCCGCCATTAGTCCTAACAAATATTCTCGATCGAAATCAAATCTAGATCAAGTATGTTAATAATTTTTTGCACAATTGAAGCTAAAATTGTGTTTTTTTAGGTTTATTTGAGTAGATTAACCAAGCAACAAGACAGAGAAAATATTTTGCCTCCTGCAAATAATAAAACACCAAAGCCAGCGCCTAAAATTAGTTTACAACGGCAGACTAGCAATAAAGAGGGCGTTGAGAGGAGTCGGACTAAGAGCCAGAGTGAGGCTGGGATTAAACATAGTGCTTCAGAAGCTAACATCAATAGAGGTATGGAAAATTGTCAGGATTGGCAAAAACCCAGGTTTTATTGTGAGGGTTTTTGTGTTTACTTAACCAGGGAAAATTGTATATTTGTTTCAACAGTTTTACACCTGAGAAGCTTCAAAATTGAATTTATCGAACATTGAAAATTTCAGCTCTCTTAATTTTTATCCGATTTCAACGCAATTAGACTCTTATTGGAGCCAATGAAATTCTCTACACACCTGTTAATTGGGATTTTAATTTAGTTGCAACAGTTTTGCACCTGAGAAGCTTCAAAATTAAAATTATAGAACATTGAAAATTTTCCAAAAATGACACTGAGACAGTTTTTGCTTCACAGCTCCTTTAATTTTTTTTGAGATTTTGAATAAACCGGAACTATTTCTTGAAACTTTTACTTCTATTGAACCAAATTCAAAAGCTCAAACCAACATTTTTGGCACTTTTTATTTAATAACAATGGGGCCGTCCCGCTAAATTGAAATGAATGTTTCTAATGTGAGACAAGTTCTACTACACTAACATACCATTTAATATTGTTCTTAAAATTATGCATTGAGACATAACAATTTTATTTTGGATTGAATTTTTGCAATTACAGTAGAACCCCAGTTATCCGAGGTAACTTGGGGGGCACCCTCCTCGGATAACAGAAAATTCGGATAATCGGGATTTACGCAAATATATGCTTAAAGAGTGAGAAGAGCCCAAAAACATAAAAAAGGGAACCACTCACCTGAACCAAGAGGATTCCTAGTTGGCCCAACGATTTTAAATAGAAATATGTATGCACATTATGTACCTCGAGATGTACCTATTGTATTTATATTTTAAAAATTTGGTTAATACAGAGTATAGACATGCGTACCTCGGATAATCAGAATCTTTAGGTCTTTAGATTAGCTTGGTTAATCAACAGCTCAGATAATCGGGGTTCTACTGTATTTGAAATTGATGTTTTCCCGGATTTATGACGTATTATGTCTCCAGCCAATAGGAGACGAACGAAAATAATCCATAACGACCTAAACTCTTAAAAATAGGCAGCCAGATATACACTTCTCATTTTTCCCGAAAAATCAACACTGAACTGACAGGTTCCAATGTCATTAAACTTCCTTTAATTGGTTGATTTCCATTTCTGACAACAGATATTCAGGCATTTTAATAACCCAATAAAAAAGAAAGGCGGGACGGCCCCATTTTTAATGACAATTTATAATAATATGGCAATGCATCTGTATTTCTAATACCCCCCGCCCCCCTCAATGGTAAATTTCTACTACAAAACTGAATAATTTTTAATTTAAATAAATCAATATGTAACAACAAAAATCCTAAGCCAGACCACATTTTTTGCTAAAGCTGTTATAAGAGGTTAAAGAAACAGGTTTTGTGAAAAAATCTACAATTTGTATATTTGTAGGAATATATTTCAAGATAACCACCTTTTCTTTAATTTTGTCACGTATGAAATGAAATCGTATATCAATATGCTTTAGTTGTTTGTGAAATTCTGGATATTTACAGACTTTTATTGCTGAGTGATTGTCTTCATAAATTACTACACTACAATCATCTACAACCTGAAAATCAATCATCAAATATCGAAGCCAACATGCTTCGCTCACTGCAAAACTTAATGCAACATACTCAGCCTCGGTGGAAGACAGAGCCACTGTAGAATGCTTTCTGGATGACCAGCTGACTGTGCAACCAAAAACTTTGAAAATATATACAGAAGTGGATTTTCTATCAACCCTGTCTCCTGCCCAGTCTAAGTCTGCATAACCTTCTATTATGTTTTAAAACTATTTTTTGTGAAAATTTAAGTTAAATTTAGAGTTTTCTGAACATATCTTCAAACTCTTTTTATTGATTGCTGGAGCTGTAAGCTTGCTGATGACTGATACCTACTTAAAATACTTATTGAAATGCACAAAATCAGCGAGCCTACAGCACTTCGACATCTATTTTCAATTTCTACAGTTTCTGATTTTTTGCGTTTTAAAACGTCATTTCTAAAATTTGTCTTCATTGGTGTATTACACGGTTTGCAGTTTTGCATATTGAAACGTTTTAAAATGTTTTCAAGATACGTTGTCTGGTCTATTATTCGATTTTGTGACAAAATTTATGTTATTAACATCCTCCAAAAAATGCCTAATGGGTCCTAAATCCTTCATTTTGAAATGTTTGTTTAAAATTTGCTTAAATTCTCTAATTTCTAATTCATTTGATCCTGCCAATAGGAGATCATCAGCATACAGCAAAATAAAAAATTTGGAAGATTCTGTGATTTTTGTATAAATACAATATTCATTTTCTGATCTATTAAAATTTAAGCTTACCATGAGATCATCAAATCTTTGTACCGATTTCTTTGGTGAAGACTTGAGTCCATATAAGGATTTTCTTAGCTTTGCGATTTTTCCTTTGTTCCCATCAAAACCTTTAGGCAACGAAATATACACATCATCATCTAAAAATCCATTCAAGAATGCACTGCAAACATCCAATTGATACATTTTATACTCAAAGTTGTTATACAATTCTGATAAAAACCTTATTGAGGGTGTTTTGGCAACAGGCAGGACTATAAACATAAGAATTGTACATACCAGTTTGTTGAAAACCCCATGCCACCAACCTTGCCTTATATATTGTAACATTTCCAAACTCGTCTCTCTTTTTCTTAAACACCCATTTACATTCAATAACTTTATTTTTAACTTCTTCTTCACTCACTGGAAACCAAGTCTGATTTTCTTCCAACGCACATATTTCAGTTTTGATTGCCTCTTTCCAATTTTTATAGTCTGAACTAGCCATTGCATCGTCATAACACATAATTTCAACTTCTTCATCATCACTCATTGACAAAAATACTGTGTCTAAATCCATTTCATAGTCATCATACCTATGGTGTTTCTTTTCCGTTCTCTTTTTAGATTGTATCTGCTATTTATAATTTCTTCATTAATTTCAGAATCATTATCCTCACTGCCTTGATACACACTACTATCTTTATTCTCATTTTCATCCAAGTTTTCGCTGTTTTCTGATCTGTTTTCATTATTCTCCATATTATATTCCAAGTCATTTGTTACTTCTTCATTGTTTTCTTCTATAATTTTTATTGCTTCATCTGTCTTACTTTCTACTTTAGTTTTTTCTGGCAAGAAAATAACATTTCTGTGGATTTTCATTTTTCGCTTTTCAGGAATATATACCCTGAATCCTTTTGTAATTTGTAAATTCCCATTTTGCTCTTTGGGTCCCATTCTAAGCTTGTTTCTTTAGGATTGTGCACGGATACAGTTCTGCCAAAGACTTTGAAGTTTTGTATGTCTACAACTTTTTTGTGCCTTAATTCAAAAGGAGTGGAATATTTTTGACGGCTTGGACCTGTTCTGTTCAGTGTGTATGTAATAGTGTTAATAGCTTCAGCCCAAAAAGTTTTAGGTATTTAATTTTTCAAAGCTGTTCAATAAAGTCCTTGCTGCTTTTACCAAGGTTCTATTTTCACGTTCTGCCCTTCCATTTTGTTGAGGTGTGTAGATTACAGTTCTTTGGTGTCGAATGCCTTTTTCATCCAACATTTTCTTGACATCTTTATTTATAAATACCAGACCATTATCTGTTTTTAAAATTTTCATTTTAAAACTTGTTTCTCGGTCTGCTAAATTCATAAAATTTTTAAGGCATGTTTTGACGTCTGATTTTTGCTTTAAAAAATATACACATCTGAATTATGAAAAATCGTCTTCGAGAAGAAGGAAATAAAGAGAGATGTTTTCTCCATAGGCTCACAAACATCAGCATTCATGGTTAAAAAACATCAATTTGCCATTGGAAACATAAATGGCAATGCATCTATATAGTATTTTTAACACACCTCCGTTAATTTCCATCCGATTTCAATGTAATTAAGCTCTTATTATCAATTAAGATTTTAATTTAGTTTCAACAATTTTACACCTGTGAAGCTTCAAAATTGAATTTATTGAACAAACATGACACATGACTTAAAGATTAACATTTTTCCCAACAGGTACGAACGCTTCATCTAAGGCAAATTCCAGAAAAAGTTCCTTCTCGAAACCAACCCCAAGGAACTTCACAAGCGTTCCCAATGTATCTACAGCAACAAAAATTAACAACGCCAGAAACCAAGAGACCACGCGCAGGACTTTGAATTTAACCAACAATATCCGACAGCCTGTGGACATTTACGTTGCCAGCAAGCTGTCACCGGAAGACCGCACTCCTGTGGAAGAAAAAGATTTCGTACCTTCTTCCCTGGATCGGCCTGTGGGGGTGGACTTTGATGACTTTTTGCCTGTGAGTTTTTTCAAAATTCATTCAAATTAGATAACTTTAATCCATACCTTTTCTACAGAAATTCCACGATATCCTAGGCCACAGGCAGCAATTGCCCGAAATGTCTGAAGTCGAGGGTCTTGGTCTACTTATGCGCGGACACCAGCCGATCATTAGTATTTTAGCAACGAGGAAAAGGAGCTCGCGGCTGGTGTTTGCTCATTTTAGGAATAAAGATATTAAAAGTGCCATCGAGTCGGCAGTCGCTATGGACGATATCAGTACTTTGGTTGATATTTTGGGTGTTATTAATACAAAATTGTAAGTATTGTGGACTTTGTTGTGCGAACCTTGTGTTGAAAAAGGGCTTCTATCTAACAAGCCTTAAAATTCATCATAATGTTTGCAAAAGAGATTTTTCCAGTTGCAGAGTTGCTCAAAATATTTTTTTTCTATTTTTAGCTCATTATGGAATTTGGATCTCTGTGTGGCAGTCTTACCGAAACTTTTGGATCTGCTACAAAGCAAATATGAACAGTGGGTACCCTATTTTAATATATATATGTTTTTAATGATTCTTCACTTTAATCTACTGTCATTAATCACCATAGTTATTTTGGATTTAGAAAAGTATAGTTTTTAAGTAATATGTACCATAGTATGATCTCTGATAGGTGCTACTATTTTTAATTGTGTAAGGAAATAGTTGATTTTCTAATGAGACTTGTATGTATCTAGCATCTCCAGGCACAATATGGTACTGACATGTAATAAGTTTACAACAAGAATGAAGTCATACGCCTATCAATGTGTTAAATTTTTAGTTGTCTCCACCTTTTAGAAATTATCCCCAATTCCAACATGACACCTTGAGAAAATACCCACTTTGCATGTAACAGGCATCATATTCAAATTGCTTTTTTTATGAAATCGGGGTGTAGCGAGACACGATTTTCTGTTAAAACGTTCGGGGGTGTGTCGGCAAAGGCCTTTCAACTATTATCAACGATATTATGGTGTATTGTGTTGTTATTGTTGTCGCGCGTCCAATTTTATTTCGCGCGTGCCGCATCATGCATATTCAAATTTACGTAATGAGGATTTTTCTATAGCGTGTAAGTAGAGCTTCATGGTGGGTGGTAACAATGATTATTAGAGACTTTAATGATGCTTAAATTTATAAGCAACATGTTTCTTTTTAACATGTAAAATTCATAAAGTTTTAAATAACGTGTGTATCTTGCCTTTCAAATCGATTTTATGCCCTTCATCAGAGTATTTGCATAAAATATAGAGTGACAAACTTACAAACAAAAACCCTATGACAGATTACATACAAAATATCAAATTGCAGAATTACCCTTTAATAGGAAACATCTTCTTTTTAGTAGGGTATGACATGGAGAACACTTGAAATTTGCATAATATTTGAAGAGGTTTGATGTGTTTATATGCAAACATGACAGTTATGAAGGGATTGAGAGGTATAGAGCGTTAAATGATATAGGGTGATTGGACAGATGATGGTAATGAGAGCGAAGGGATGAATAGTTATAGGGCTAGACAAAAATATTTGAAGGTGTGATTTGTAGATTAAGCAAACTCTCAGCCATTTTCAAACGTTTATAACTTGTCTATGAAGCGACATACTTTTAATTAAAAATGTTAAATTTAAGTGACAATAATTAATAGTTATTGCTGCCCTCTTGTAAAATAATCACAGTTCATAGGGTCTTTGTGTGTATCGCGTAGATGCTCAACTTTTAATGACCAGTTGGCGTTTCTTTTTTCGGCTCTCAATTTCGTGAGCAGCTGACGTTTTCCTTTTTTAGTGCGGAAGTAACTGACAGTCAGACGTACCCACTTTCTCTGTTTATCAACCACCTTTGTAATGATTGGTCTAATTAAGTGAAATTATTCAATAATAATTTGTTTGGAGAATGTAACATGTGTTCCTAAGCTTGGTTGCTAAAAATTTCAAATTTTATTACGTTAGTTAAGATAGACACAAAAACAAAATATTCATAGATTATTGTTTCAGATACATGACGCTAGGCTGTACCACCCTCAAACTAATCTTGCGCCATTTCGGTCCAGTAATCCGAAGCAACATCCAAGCTCCAGTAGGTTCGTTTGGCGTTGATATACCACGCGAGGAACGCTACCAAAAATCCGTTAAATGTCACGAAATGTTGTCGCAGCTGCGCAGCTGTGTCGTGAAAAAATTGTCGCTACCCGGTAACCTTGGGGCCAGCTTCAAGGACGTGCAAGCCATGATGGTGACGTCGCTGGACTGACGAAACGTCTCTCGGAAGGTGGCGCTGGTGACGTTCAAAAACGCGAGTATCTAATTTATAAACACTCCTTCCCGCATCAAGATTTTTTTTAATAACAAAAAATGTGATATTAATTTTCTTGTATATTTGATAAGACTAATTGAATATGAACTTTATTAATTTTCCTATTTTTGACCAATAATAATTATGTATTAAATTTACTAAAATAAAATATAATTAAATAAGACTTGAAAGGTCCGTCCATAAATGTGTATTATGTAGAATGCCTCCCCTCATATAGATTTTGTATTATTCACATATAAAAAATTTGTAATCAAAACTTGGAAAGAATCTTCTAAGTTGACAAAAAAAAGTTTAGGTAATAATTCAATTACAAAAATAGGTGTTTTGTTTCAACCTTAAAATGTCTAAGCAGCCATATTTTGTCAGATTCAAAAATTAGTTGTACAATTTCCATGTATTGGAACAAATCTAATAATTAAATTAGTTTATTTTCCAAAATGTATTTTTATTTAGTTAAGGCATACATTTGGCACATTATTTTTTAATTATTTATTACATGGTTAGACTGTGTTGACTTTTCAATATTTAAAAATCTTGCCTCCATTGTTTATGTGCCATTTTTATCTTTTGTAATCAATTTTTGTTGATCCAAACAGTGGCTTTTTACAATTATTTTGATCAATATTAGTTTTTAGTTTAATTCAAATTTTGTATTAAACTTTTTCTTTTAGATTTTATCTAGTATATTATAATTTGTATTTATTTAATTATTCTTTAGGAAACAAATAATAGAGAAGTATTAACAAATTGTAAAGATAATAAAAGAATTTTTAAATTTTTTCCTATTTATTTTTGCTCATAAATAAAATAGGTATTTTGTGCAACACTCCAATATGATAAGTTTTCACCCAAGTGCAATAATGTAATGATATCTTCGTCCCACTTGTTACAAATTCTAGGAATTTTTCTCATAACAACTAATTTTCTAAAAGTGTCAACTTATATTTTTTGCAACAATAGACCCTTTTGTCTGCTCACAACGTTCTCCTTGCAGATTTATCAACATCTTTTAAACATATCAATTTCGTTTCATGCCTAGTCAAACATTGAAAAAGGACTTTTTTGTGTCATTGTGTAAGTGTCACCTTTTAGAGTATCCGAGTACCTACACCCCGATGGGGGGTGATTACACTGCTATAAGAAATCTTTATTATAGTGATTTTACCTGCCTGACGGGGGTTCTTGTTTGGTTGTTGACAAGGGTGGACCCTTCTGTATTATTCAAAAGATTTAATATGTCACAATTTGAAATTTTAATCCCTGGATGGAACATTTTTAAACTTGATTTTTTTGAGAAACTGCTTGCGCTTTTGCATGGTTGCATTGCTTTTCAAATTTGAATAAATTGAATAGTTGTAAAAGTGAGGAAAAGAAGGAAAATGGAAAAATTGTCCAATTTTGACTATAATTATTAAACTAGCAAGATAGGGGGAGAAAGGTTTGAATGTTTAAAAGTGAGAATGAATGAGAAATCCGCGTTTCTACCATTATCGCAACTATTGTGAAGCAAGAGTAAAACTTCGCAATGAGAAGGGTTTACACCAGTTCATACAGTGATCATGACCCCCAATACAACCCCACGACGATATGGCGTCCAACTCGATGGTACAAACACCAAAAATAAAAACCCTGAAGGATCTGCACCGCTACATTCCTCGATTTATGGAGAAACTTCGCAACAGAATTTATCAGCGAACATATTACAGGATGTGGCTTCCATAATTTCTGAACTTTGGAAAGAGATTAGGCTCACAAGACAACTTCCTGTCCAGCTACCAGTGTTTTCAGGATTGAATTGGCAGAGTCCGGAAAAAATTTATCCAGGAATTTAGATCCTATTTTGAAAAGTATAAAGTTCCAAAGGAATGTCAAACTAGTCAAGTGAGGTATCACCTGAAGGGAGAAGCAAAATCATGGTTCTCTGCGTATGAATTATATGATGTAAGTTTTGATTCTTCCTGTAATAGACTTTCTGAAAGATTCGATAATGATTCTCTAAAGGCCTCTCTGTATAGAAAATTATATGGCGAAAAACAAACAAATGAGGATACTTAAGTACAAAAATATACTTAAGTATTTGACTTAAGTACTAATCTAAACATTGGTACTTGTACTTGCAATTTAAAGTTTTTCAAATTTTACTTGTACTGAATACTTAAAATATCATTGATATTTACTTTAAGTACCCAGGGAAATTACTTGCAGTTAATATTTTTAATTGACGTGTCTCGTAATACCTGGTGTGCGCGCGCAACTCGTGGGCTGCAGGTGAGCGTCCAATGAGAATCGAGTTTGTTACGGGCTTGCGTCATATTCGTATTCAGGGACGAGTTCAGAATTAATTGTTCCTTCTTTCTTTGTAACGTGTAATTTGACAAAGAGCAAACTAATACTTTACGTATTACTTGAACTTATCGCAGTGTCGTTTAAGGTTATGTTAGATTATACTTGACACATTCCTTTGCAATTTCATTGTGTGATGTTGCCGGATGAAAAGTGCCATCGAAGTTAACCTACAAGGTAAAGCTCTTCTTTTGTCTGATTTAAGGCGTTGTAGAACACTTGACAATATATCACTTCTTTAATGTTATAATGTTCGATTTGTATTGTCTACATTTGTTCTGCAACAAGACAATCTGGCTACACTGCAGCCACGCGTTGCGCGCGCATGTATTTTTCAATACTTTCTAACTTGTATTTTTCACAATTAGGCTCTCTTTTTCTATCTCTGCGAGACACGTCAATTGAAGTATTTTTAAAAACTTCAAAATTTACTTGACGACTAGATGAAGTTTTATCTATTCATCGCGTGACGTCATAAACACACGCCAAAATTGCAAAACCTATTTAAACTGACGCAGCAATAGGTGTGAGAACGCAAAAACAATACGATAATTTCTCAAGTAGGATAAACGTTCAACTTATTGAAAAATAGGTGGGCAACTGGAAATTACTGGTTCTGGAACGGTTTTCATGTCGGTTAGATCGGAGCTAATATATGCAGCAAGAATCAGAAAACGCGCGCCAGCGTCGGCTGTCGGACCAGTGTTGCGAGATGAAATTAAAAAAATTCGTGAGAATCATGAAAGAAAAATCGTGAGAAATCGTGAGACTAAAAATTCTTAATATTGTAAGAAAATAAAGCACAACAATGTTTTTTCATAGATTTTTGATAAAGTAAACATGATTCTACGATCCATAAGAAATAAACATTTTATTATTTAATCTTGTATCCTTGTTTTTTCCGTTTTTAAGCAAGTGTTTCTGAGAGCTGAACCTCGTTTTCACTATCCGCAGGATTGCTCATTCTGATAAGGCATACGTTCGTCAATTCTCGAGTCGGCAGTTGGTCTGCGAGTGACGTCACCACGATCAGCAACTGATATCACCGTCGATTTAGGTTGTGCTTGTTAGTTAATTTTTTTTGGAATTTTTTTAGAAAAGGTGATTTCAACGTTTATGAATTCATTTTTTGGACTCGGGTAATGCATTTTCTGCCAAGAATTGAGGTCTGCAGCTGACGTCACGAATAGTGGGGTCTCGTGGACTTACAAACACATTATATTTAATTACTGATTTGTTTAACTACAGAGAGAATTCGTAAGAATTGGTACCTCATTCGTGAGCTCGTGAAATTCTGAACAAGATCGTGTAATCTTACGAATAATCGTGAGATCTGGCAACACTGTGTCGGACTCAGTTTGTGCATATGACGTCACAGTGCTAGGAATGGGAACTTTATACCACGGTATCTTCACAACGGTTGATCGTAGCCTAGTGCGGTTTGAAAATTTGTTCTTGGATTTTTATTTTCTAAAACTTTTATTTTTGGGTCACTCCCCCTTTCCTAAGTATCGATAGTAATAATTTAATTTGTTATTTAATTCGAACAATACTTGAAATAAAAAATACTTAAATTATTTTTTGAAGTATTTCTACGTAAATGTCATTTCAAGTACCTACGCAAGTTTCTTAAACTTGACTCTGACTTTCGTGGAATTTGGTACTTGTACTTGAATTTGGATAATTCAAGTCAATTTACTTGATATTTTAAGTATTTCCTTCTGTACTTAAGCCCGGGACACATCTATCATACATTCTTCCGATCCGACTCCGATCATACAAGCAGGGTCCTTATTCTTGGAACAGAGAGCAGTGTTCCCAGGCGTTCTTTTGGGGACGGTGCTCGCCTATTCCAAGAATAAGGACCTTGATTGTATGATCGGAGTCGGATCGGAAGAATGTATGATAGATGTGTCCCGGCCTTTATACTTGTACTGGTACTTGATTCGTATTAGAAAAGAAACTTGCACTTAATACTTAAGTACTTTTTCTTGGTACTTACAGCAGCTCTGCTGATGGCAAAATATATTGAAAAATTTATAAGGGAGAATCTAAAAATATGAAGAAAAAAATTATAAAAATAAAAATGACTCGCCCGCTAGAGCACTGCCAGAGAAAGAGAACGTTTCAGAAACCAAACCCTATAGGAAAACAATCCTGTGTTTTTTTACACTTAACTGCGTATTAACCAGATCAACCAATCAGAAAACTACACTCAAAAGACCATATTCATTTCACAATGAAAAACCACGTGGAATAAAAGAGAATAGATAAAAATCCACTAGAATTATTTTAATTGTTCACAAATTATAATTTATTTTGCTGATTCTGAAATGGCAAAAATACAACTTTATAATGAAAATGAGAAGAGATGGAACATGTAACGTAAATGATAAATTTATCGTAACAAGGTGTTTTGAAGTGAAAATAAGGACAAAGTTTTCCTAACTTATAAAAGCTATATAGAATGGAAATTAAAGCATCTTCTAGTTCTTCAAGAATTCCAAAAGTAGACTTTATAGATTTCTCCATCAATAAATTAATAATGCATCTTATTTGGATACTCCTGAATCCTTTTTCCTAAAACATGTATAAATTTCCAACAACCTATAATTAGAGCACTCTCAAATGTCGAAAAGGTATTTAAAAGTCAAAAGATATTTTGTTACCCCGACTTTTATGTTTTGGAAAATGTGAGATACTTTAACACATTTCGAAAATAAATTTCAGGCTCTTAGTGGAACGGTGTAAAAACGGAAACTGATGATTATACCTTCGTTTCATCTCTCTGAAAATCTTTAATTCCATTTCCTAAACAAAACAATAAATATTTCTGGATTAGATGTAAAATAACTTCCAAACAGTATAAAATAGGTGCTTAAAACAAGACCAAATGCCATTACATCCATGTACAGGAGAAGCGAAAAAGAGGGGGCGCAAAATCCCGGAAGAGGGTTCAATAAATTCGCCCTTTCTAATTTAGAAGGGTCGCGCCCTTTGCCGTTTCAATAAATGCCACCCTCGATGCTCGTTAGGGAAACAACAAAGAAAATTCCTTTTTTTTTTTCTTCCAGTTCTAATGTCTACTCTCTTCAATTGAGATTATTAATTATTTAAATATTTATTGACATAGGACTCTCTAGAATCTAGATTCTTGTAAGTTTTTCTAAGCTCTACCTAATTTTAACTAAATCAGGTACTTTTAGGATCAAAGATGTTCACATTTTCTTTATACTCAGGACTCTGTTTTAAGTAGGTATAGGGTAAATGTTTACAATAAATTCTATACCTTATAATTCTGTCAATTCTTTTTTTATGTAAAGCCTTCCTATCCAAAAAAAAAGGGTGGCGCTACCTTGTTTTTTTTTTCTAACTGAATCAGAGTCGGTACTTTTGATGGATTTAAAAAGCTTAACGACCCTCATTTTCTTTACGC